CCTGACTATTTCCCACCATAATCTTTTCATTCAAGTGTGTCGGCCGTTGACTCGTTCACACCCCATGTCGGCCGAACAGAACGACAGCAGCAGCGGCGGAAGCGGCAGTGGGAGCGCTCGGCCGAGCGAGGTCCCCACCCCAGTCCGCAAGGAGAAGAAGCGAGTCGGCTTCCACGCCAGCAGTGACAGCTTCGCTGCCAAAGGAGGAAGTGACCAGGCCGGGGCTAGTCGACCTCGTGAGGATGAGGTCGTCTTCTCTCCTACCGGGTCCCCGAAGCTAGCCCCTGGGGAACTACCGCCCAACGCCCCAGACGCATACGAACTAAGCCTTGCACTCACAAAGATATTGTCCGCCGAGCAGGAGAACAAACGTCGTCAGCAGGAGAAGGACAAGGTCGAGAAGCTGTCCCCTGGAACACCAGACCTCCTAGGTCCGAAACGTCCGAGACCAGCATTGAGGAGAAACACCAGCTATGACGCCCCCCAGGATCGTGAGATGGCCGATCTGGCAGAGTCACGGGCGAGCGAACGCCAACTCAAATCCATGACTGACGCTCGCCAGAGAGCTGACCGTCTAGCTGTGTCAGTGGGAAGCTACTCGGCTCCGGGATCCAGGCGTGGATCAATTGACCTTGCTGAAGTGCCGTCGGCCCAACCCCTGATTGAGGACTACGAGAGTGACGACGATCTACCAAAGAAGACGACAGTTATCGACGATGGAGGCACTTACTCTACCTTACGCCAACGAGTACCGAGGATAACATACGATACCGAACCCTTCAAGCACCACACCGATGCGGAGAACCTGGTCAGATCTCACAGCCGTAAAGGAAAGAGAGATTTGTTTCATCAGCAGCCAAGTGGACAAGCCTCTGGGACTGCAACTCCTGTTCTTGAACAGAACTATGCTCACGATTATGTCCCACGACCAGACAAGTACCGTGGAGGCATTCTATCCTCCCTTCTCAAGTTGTACCATGATGATCGAGGAGCTCCAAGCAGCGGCTTCAACACTCCTCAGATACCTGGTACACCTCTCATGTCCCCTCGTCCTTCACCTCCAACCTCGAGGCCTGCTTCAGCCATGGGTACTCCTCTCCGTTCACCACCTCGTTCTCGGCCCTCGAGTGGTCTCTTCAACTATCACAAGTCCCGCAACTCGACATCCTCCCTTGCCTTGACCGAACTGATGAAGTCGTCCTCCATGTTCGCGGTCCCAGCTTCAACCAACATCTCTGACCAATGGGCCGAAAAGCTCAAGCGAGAACAGACGCCACCCCCCAAGAAGCGAGACAAGGCTCGCATCACCATCCACATTGCGGGTATTATCCAGCGTCACCGCTACCTGTTGAAGCTATGCCGCGCACTCATGATGTACGGCGCCCCGACGCATAGACTGGAGGAGTACATGACCATGTCCTCCCGAGTCCTCGAGATTGAAGCCCAGTTCCTTTACCTACCCGGCTGCATGATTATCAGCTTCGACGATAGCACGACACATACCACCGAGGTCAAGCTCGTCCGCGTTCCTCAGGGTATCGACCTAGGACGTCTCCGTGACGTGCACAACATCTATAAGGAGGTGGTGCACGACAAGGTTGGAGTGGAAGAAGCCACCAAGCGACTGGACGAGGTGATTCTGAACAAACCGAAGTTCAACATCTGGCTTCGTGTGTTCCTCTACGGCGTCGCCTCGGCCTGCGTCGCCCCCTTTGCTTTCCAGGGACGTTTCATTGATTTGCCTATTGCATTCATCCTTGGCGCCATCGTTGGAATCCTCCAACTGGTGCTGGCTCCTAGCAATGAGCTATACGCCCATGTGTTTGAGGTGTCGGCTGCGGTTGTCACATCCTTTCTGGGACGAGCCTTTGGTTCCATCAACAACGGCGAACTGTTCTGCTTCAGTACTCTAGCCCAGAGCAGTATCGCCTTGATTCTCCCCGGTTACATGGTCCTCTGCAGTTCACTAGAACTCCAGAGCGGCAACATCGTCGCCGGAAGTGTACGCATGGTGCACGCCCTCATCTACACGCTGTTCCTCGGATACGGAATCACAATCGGAGCCTCCCTGTACGGAATGATTGACAAGAACGCGACGAGTTCAACCAAGTGCAACGACCCCCTCGGACGGGAGTGGTATTTCCTTTTCGTCCCCGGGTTTGCCCTGTGTCTCTGTCTCATCAACCAAGCCAAGTGGAAGCAGACGCCCGTCATGACGGCCATGGCCTTGGCGGGTTTCTGCGTCAATAGCTACTGCAGCGAGTACTTTGGAGGAAACGGTCAGATCTCCAACATGCTTGGCGCTCTCGCTATTGGCATCCTCGCGAATTTGTACTCGAGACTTGGAAGACATGTTGAGAATGGTTGGCTGGACTTTGTCGACTGGTGGAAGCTCAGGGTTCGACCGAGGTACACCAGGAAGAAGCTTACCTCGGATACTTGGTCTCTACCCTCAATGTCCGACCCCGAGTCGCGTCCCCAATCCCCCGAGAAGCCCGAGAAGAAGCCCCGGAAGGTCGGATACAGTCTTGCCGCGGCGGCTATGCTCCCCGCCATCTTCGTCCAGGTGCCATCTGGTCTCGCGGCTGGTGGCTCTCTGCTGGCCAGTATTGCTTCGGCGGACGAGATCACCAAGAACTCGGGTGGCAGCAGCGACTCTATGGGCAATCTCGACGGAACGGCGTTCAACGTCTTGTTCAAGGTTATTCAAGTCGCTATTGGAATCAGTGTCGGTCTGTTCCTGAGCGCCCTGATTGTGTATCCTCTTGGTAAGAGGAGGAGTGGTCTGTTCAGTTTCTAGGCAATGACCTGAACTCAAAAGTGTTTTATTTGGAGAGTGTACGATGACGGCCTAATAATAACGGGTACGATATCGGGAATGAACATCGACCCGGGACAGGATATTACAAAAACAAGAGATGGGATTACAGGAAATTTCTTTTGCTTTTTGTTTCATTGGAGTTATACTGGAGTGATTGGGAAAAAGCGAGCGAGCGATGGGAATGTCTTGATAGTTTTCACTTTTGGCTTACACAGCGATCTTTTCTTGGAATATCTGGGGATTTTAATGATTGGATTTTAACGGATAAGCAACATCTAGAATATTAATTATTCTGTTTCTCGTTTTCAACATCATCTTGTACTTGTTCCTTGTACATGACGTCCTTTCTTGGATATCACATGCTGTGCTACCTCTACGATACAGTGACGTCACCTCGACTCTCCAAACCCTCACATTCCACCTCAAGTTCGATTAAGCAAATCTACACACCTTTTCGAAGAAAAAAAACACGGCAAGATCCTAGACCAAAACTAAATCTACACTCTAAAAAAACGGTTCTTCATTCGTACACGCAAAGTACCAACAGCCGGTATGAAGATTCGCTCCTCTCGCATCTCGACTTCGATAGCCAAGGCGATATGTCGTCGTCACGGCACAACAAAGTCCAACGTCCTCCGCGTCATCCTTTCCTTTTTCCGCCTTTTCAAGCTTCTCCTCTCACGATTCCGACCTGTTGATTTCCTCGCGCTGAGAAAGGAGGTTTGGAAGCTTGATGAGGATGAGTATACTGCTTCGTTCCAGGAGCAGCAGGATGAGCCGAGGACGCAGAGGAAGAAGGGAAAGGATCCTCTTGCGCAGCTTGTACCCATCGGTGATCTTGGATACAGTGGTTCGACTTTCTTCACTACGCCTAATGACAAGTATCTTGTCAAGTCGCTTCCTCGACGTTTTGAGCAGGCCTTCTTCGCGAGGGAGTTGCTGGATCCTTATATCGGACACATGAAGCACCAACCTCACAGTTTGCTCGTCCGAATCACAGACCTTGTACATGCACCTCATGCATCGCTGGGTGGTATGCTAGGTGTTACACCCACGCACCACATCGTCATGGAGAACCTGCTCTTTGGCAGACCACAGGACCAAGAGGGGGACGGCTGGGAGACGTACGACCTCAAACCAAACGACTACTTCTTCCCAGAGCGGGATATCGCCGACGGAGCCTTGGTTCCTGGCAGCGTCATCGAACGCCTCGTCGACGAGTTCCCAGGAAAAGTACGCGTCACACGCGAAGCCAAAGAAGAACTCACCTCCCTCCTCTTCGCCGACTCAGCCCTCCTCGCATCCCACAACGCCGTCGACTACTCCCTCTTCCTAGTCCGCTACCCCTGTGGAAGCAATGTTCCAACCGTATCCTCCGACGCTGGTGCATGGCGAAAGGGCGTTAACGACGTCGAGGGCAAGTGGACGTATCGATGCGTGGTTCTCGACTTTTTCTGGGCAAAGCATACTCTGCACGCGAGGACGCTGACAAAGGTGGTCAAGATCTTCAACAAGGTGGCTCACAAGGGGCCTATGAGCATCACGGCGGATCCGGCCGAGTATAGGGAGAGGTTCATGAAGATGGTTGACGAGATGGTCGTTGTGGAGTGATGTCTGTATTTGGGGGAGGTAATACCTAAGGGATCGGTTCAGAAAGCAAGCAAGCAGTAGATGACTAGCTTTTTTCTTTGCCATTGTTCAAGTTCGAAAGCTTTTTAATATCAATTTTTATTCTGTCTGATTGCCATCCCCCTACCAGAAGAAGGAAAGGAGAGTTAAGGCCCTTGGCCCTTGAGCCTGCACACTGACACGTCTCACGCTCAACGACTCAAAACAGTGCATTACCTTGACAAAGAGTTGTAAAAGAATTCGAGTAATATTATTAAAGTTTCCATCGTTAAAAGGAAATCATGGGAGGCTAGGATGGGTAGTGTTTGTAATCACGAACTCCTCTCAAGTGGTGGTGCTATAGGGTAGGGGTGAAATCGTGATCGTCACTATTATCAAGGTAGTAAAGGAGTCTCGATGCCAGTATGAGTTCAGAGATTTCACGTTGAATTAAGATACCACTGTCTATGGCTAATCTGCTCGTTCTGTCACGCTCATTCTGGGTTCGTGGATAACAATCTATCATTTCTCATTTTTGGGTATCATTATTCCTCATCTGGGTATCCAGCCCTCAGTCCACCACCTTCAACATGTCATACGCCTTATGGCTGATCGCCTTCTTCACCACCTTGAGAGGGTCCATCTTGGCCTTCTTCTTGGTTGGCTTCTCTGTGGCATTGCCATCCTCGTCCTTGTCCACAACCACTTCCTCTTCCTCATCGTCCTCCTCTGGCTCCTCAAAACCACCTCCATCCAGGAACACCTTGAGCATTCCCTGCGAGTAACCACTGACGAGGCAAGTTCCCTCCTCCTCTGCAGTAACGGGCTTGGGCGCCGTGGTGTCTCCCATTCCACCCGAGTAGCCCGCTCGTCCCCCAGCCAGGTTCCAGAACACCAGTTCTGGCATCTCGTAACCGGCATCTTGGTACTTGCTCTTGATTCGCTCAAATGACGTGGTCCATTCAGCGGGCTTCTTCGGCTGCTCATCCCAGCTATAAGACTCGTTACCACAGGCGGCATCAAACTGCATGTCACTGAAGACAAAGACACGTTTCACCATGTCCTCCTGCTTCAGGTTGTTCCTGATCGCCATGGGGAGAATGAGATCTTCGAAAACTGCCACAAAGTTTGTGTTCATGCCCCATTGCGAAGACAGCATGTTCCGGTACTTGTCTCCCAAAGGCTTGGTGAGGTCGACTTGTTCGACGGTGGGGCTGGCGCTGAATGTGATGAATGCCCCTGAGAACGGAGGCTTCGCAACCTCTGCAATCAGAAGGGACAGACCAATAGCCGAGTCCATCGGGGTAGTGTTGTCGGGGAAGTTGGGATATGTCATACTTCCAGACACATCGCAGACGGCGATGCAAGACTCGAGAGTGCCCGAGTCTTTGATGCGTTGTACCAGCGTCTTCCACTGCCCATCAACAACCTTGGCCTCGATCTCATGGACCTTTCGGTCAACAAGATCGCGTGCACTGTTATTCCCGCTGCCCGAGTTTCCCCCTCGCACCTTTTGAATCAAGGTAGACGGCAGCAGGGTTGCTCCAGAGATGTTGGCCTTTCCTTCGGCGACCTTGTCGATATATGCACCAAAATGGTCCATATCCTTCTCGATGAAAAGCTTCGAGTATTGACTCATGGCAAGAGAAGGGACCCGATCGTACTTGATGTTGTCAAACTTTTGGAGTGTAATGTCACGTTCGACAACCTCAAGATGCTTCCGAAGAGCAGATGTGTCCTTGCGGTACTCTTCGCGTGCGAATCGAAGGTACGTCTCTCGGTCGTCCGTTGGCGAAAGACGGTTGTCCTGGATAGAGTCTCGTGGATACAGAATCTCGGCAATGGTGCTGATAATGAAGGTGTGCCTGTCGTGAAAGTGGTCGTGCGAAGGAGCCCACTTGCCACACAGCGAGATGGTGCGCTTTGCCTTTGCATCAACTCCTCGGAGTATGCAAAGGTCCTTTTCCAGCTGCTCTGCAAACAGTCGGGCGATGGTCAAGTGCAGGGCACGATACACTGGATCCGTGTTGAAGGCCTTGACTGCCGCCTCGTAGCGGTTGTCTCTGGTTTGCCGTCTGAACTCCTTTGGAGGCAGACTAGTCTGTTCCTTTTGTCCCTTTTGCTCCTTCTCATCGCTTTCCATGATACGATCTCTTCGAGAGCGAGCTCCTCCGCGGCCACGACCACGGCCACGACCTCTTCCGACTCCACGACCGCGAGTCTTTGTGATGCTCTTCCCTCGGATAATACCAGGATTCTTGCTGTTGAGAACGCTCTTAGGATCCGAGAGCCCGTCGAGCTTCTTGTTGACTGCCAGGGCAAGGATGTTGGGGAGATCCTTCCAGTAGCCATGGGCCACCCCGTGCTTGACATCGTACTTTGTGGGGTCGTCCTCGTCCTTCACGTCGACAATCACCGCGTCGTCTTCGCTCTCCTTCTTGGCCTTCTTTTCGATGACTGGGCGGCTCAACCACTGGAGATTGGCGACGAGGGTTGCGGGATGGTTCTGTGCTAGCCACCCAGCGCAGCGGTAAAAGCTGACTCTTGAGCTTTTTCCCAAGTGGATGGAACGGGCATTGAAGATGATTTTGAGGGTATCTAGAGGGTCCGCCTTCCAGGCGGCTGGGAGCAGTTCCGCCAGACGTGGCCCAGACACGACCTCCTCGAGTTCCTGAAAGAGGTCCACGAGGGCATCCTTGGTGGAGCGGTATGCAAGATCGCTGTTTTCGGTATGCATCATGTTCTCAAGGTTTCGAGGAGGCTCCTGCTCTTCCTTGCCGTAGCTCACCAGGCCTTCCATAAAGGGATTAGACTTGGTGTCAGCCTTGGGCTCCTCTGGTTTGGCGTCGTGCGAGTCGGGTCCCGTTACATCCATGGCATCAATGCCTTTCCGGATCTCGCCTGTCGTGCTGTTGGAGACAAGAGTGAATGTCTCTGACTCGCCAGCATCGGTCATGGCCTGATCCTGACCAGTACCAAGATCCACTGGGGTCTCGTCATGGCGACGACGAAGCTCCTCCCGGAGGAAGTTCTCGAACTCTGCCTGGGGCTTCTTCAAGGACTCGTGGAAGGGAAAGAGGACAGGGTACGACGACTTGAGGAACCAGGCCTCCTGAGATTCGGTGGTTGACGCCATGATGGATGAATGATGGACAAGTCTTGGACCCCTGGAGGTATTGGCTTGCTGAAGAGGAGGATTTCAGCGACGGGAATGTATTGGCCTTAATATAGCTGGGTATTGTGGAGATTTGTGAGACCTGAGAGAAACGTTGGGGAGCTGGGCTGATGTCGGTCAGTGAGTCAGCCACAGAAGTACTATAGTAGTAGGTACTAGTGAGGTACTTACTTTGTTGAGGGATGGCTCCCCGCTTCTGGTAGTCAACGTGTAGCGGCAATATGGCTTGACCAAACTTCGATCTCGATCCAATGGATTTCTGCTGTTGGTTGATCAGGCTGCTACATGCGGCTGAGGCTTGCTGCCTACGGGTCGGCTGAAGCCATCCACAATGCCACCCCCCGGTGAGCAAGGCCAATGCCTGTTGGTTAGCGGCTACACAGGATCGCCAGATGGACCTCAATGGAGCATCCTCCCGTGTTGGCAAGGCCTTGGCGAGCCATTGAGCAACGTGGAAGGACCTTGTCTGTGGGGTTGCCAGGGTTTGGCAGGGATCGCGGCCGCTTGAGTCACCGGGGAAGGTGGAGCTTATGTTGGACGCCGTCCTTTCTCACGTGAGACGTCCTAAACTCTCTCTTGACCACATTCCTTCTGAGGGGTCAAGGACCGGGTTCTTTGTTCTATCGACGTCAAGTTTGTCTCTTCGAAACATGTGAAACCAACCGAGTAGCTGCACCGTCGAGTCGAGGAGTCCCAGCTAAAGAAATCAGCCAGTAATCCGAGTCTGTCTGCCCTGACTGCCAACAACCGTCGGTGCTTGAAGCCCCCTGTGCCCTTCCCTTGCATGTTTGCCTTTGTTCTTTCGTATCTCAAGCCAGCGAGTGCTTGTTCTCTGTATGAAGGCCTGAAAGTATCGGTGAGCGTTGAGTAAGGGAATGTCGAGTATGGGGATGTCGAGTACGGGAATGTCGAGTATAGGGGATCGTTTCGAGGTCTTTCTGGAGGCTCTCGGTGCGTCTTTCGTCCTACCCCTTTTCAAAGTCTGGTTAGTAGCCGGTCATGTCCATCGTCCACGTACCGATTCTTGCCCCTGAGAAAGTGCTCGACAGCTGGGACGAGCCAACGAAGCTGGTGTCAAAGGATACCCTCTGTCTCATGGTGGTAGTTGCAAGTGTCAACCTAGGATGGAGCGAAGAGTCATTGGTGATGTTTGATGAGCCCAAGACCATCCCCAGTCCTTCGTGCTCGTGGCTTTCTGTCGCTTCTCTTCGAGCGAAGATGTTGCTGAGAGCTCTGGCAGCCCCTTTCCAAGTCCTGTGTGGCCTTGGCGGACATAGTCTATGGCCCCTTGCGCCGATGCGCTGTTCTGGCGGCGTCTTCTTTGTCGGAAGGACGCCGCTCGGTCTGTGGTCTGGGTCATGTGAGCGGACGTGTTTCTGAGATGTCGTCGGATCAAAGAAGGGATGGATGTGAGGATGAATGGTGTCGAAGTGTGGACGATGTCGATGTGTTTTTGTTTCTTTGCGAGGGTGCGATGTGTCAAAACACCATGGATTCGTGGTCGCGACGCTTGCTCTGCCAGTGCTAGGCTAGTACAGTCCCGAAGCACCCTGATTTCTAGCGAAATACAGCACCCCCTTTGCAGCTCATGGACGATACTCCTTGCATCCTGTATCATGGATGATTTTTTTGCAAAGAGATGCACTGGAAGACAATTTCTGAGCGATGCAAAGAATAGGGGATCGTGATGGGCTAGGCCCTCAGGTGGCGTGGGTTCGGGACGGTGGTGGAAAAGAGGGGTGTCCATGCATCGGGGATGGCATCAACCACAACGGACGAACCGTGCAGTGGGTGACGGCCATGCGGTGAATGCAGCATGTCGACGACCTCACTATCGCACTATGATATTTCTACTAGGAGGGGTGTGCTCCCTCATCTACAATGCTACGATGAATGGCCCTTTGTCGTCCGCGACTGGAACTCCAAGAGCAAGATGGATTTAGAGATGGAGAGTGAGGCCGCTCGCAGCTCACGACTACACCATGGCGGGATGATTACGGGTTGGTGGATTACTCGATCCTCGTCCTCACGAGGAACCATCTGGAAGTGTCCCCTGGACCAGGTGGGCCTCTGCCACAATGGATATCACAATGCAATGGCCCAAAGGGACCACGATGACGGATGGCATGACCCTTCTGGCCACTGGAGAGACCCCTCAGGGAGGTCACGGGAGTTGATACTGGGCTACGAGCCCTAAAGCTTGCAGTTAGTCAGCTAATGCCCTCCCGTACGAAGCCCACAAGCCCTATATTTCTCGGTTGCCCTGGTGTTGACGTGGAATCCTGAAAAACGAGGCAGAGCCGCCGCGTGTTTGTGGGCGTTCACGGTTCGCGGCACGCGTCTTGACCTTTTGTTTTCCTCTCCTCCTCCTCTCCACCCAAACTCTCCCACCCTCACATCTCCCCGCAACACCTCACCGCAACACATCACACAAACCCCTTCAACCCTTCTCTCATTCTCACATCGCTCTTCAAGAGTTTACCTTCACTTTCACTTCTATCCAACACTCACGCGTCACCTTTGTAGTGTACGCCCAAGATGTCTGCCCTCGACGCGCTGGGCATCCTTTACCCCTCCTCTAACCTCGAGGAGGAAGTCAATATCGACGATTTCCCTAGCCTCCTGACAGTCGTTGGATACGGCGATGACCACGCATTGTTCTTGCAGAGCGCGGACGACAAATTCAAGGTCATCGCTACCCTGTGCGAGTACTACACACAGGCCACGATGATCGACGCAGCAGACTTCGCTGGTCTTCCATGCGACATGCTACTCACTTTGAACGAGCTGAGCACCGATGCCGTCCACGATCTCAAAGGCCTCAGCAAGATGAGACAAGACGCGTTTGTAAGTTTTCATGCCAACCCTAGCCTCAAGGCGTAGACACCTGAAGATACTGACATCATCCCCACCCAGCTTCTTTTGATCGAAATGGCTCAATCCCTTTCTTTCGATGAGTGGGAGAAGCTGGTTGGAGACGTCATGCGGGACCTTGAGGAACAGCGTGACATTATCAAGGGAAAGGTTGACATGATCAACGGCCTCCGCGAGTACAAGCTTGTAAGAGCACATCCCTTTCCTTTCTTTTGTTCTCTCCCCCTTTCGCCTTTCAGTTTCTGACCTTACTCTACAGGCTCAGGACGAGGTCCTGTCGGATGATGATTGCGACAGCAATGTCGGCCCTCTGTCTCTCTCCTCTTAGGACGAGGAGGATGATTTTGAGATCATCGCTAAGCCTAGCGCCCCCCGTGTTCCCAAGGGCGACTGGGAATGGACCCAGGCCGTCATCAACAACAAGGGCCCCATGGTCATTCTCAACGATCTGCCTGCCAACATCACGTACGCGCAGGTTATGCAAGGCGTCACCGGCGTTGGTGGCATCAACAGCGTTCTCGTGAAGCCCGAACCAGCTGGGTCCCGAAAGGGCACGTACTGTGCCGCCATTCACTTTAACGACAGCCAGGCCGCCACCGCCTACATCGACTTCTTCAAGGAGAAGCCTCTATTCTTCGTCGACGAAGATGGTGATGTCCACAAGACCAACATGTTGTACTTCAAGGCCGCCACTCCTTCTGACCATGATGCTCAGAGCCCCGTCTCTGGTCGATGCGTCGATTTCGCCAACTTTCCTGAGTCGGCCATCTGGGCAGCCATCAGCAAGATTGGCCTGTCGGGCATTGTCAGAGTTAATTTCAACCCTGATGCCTCTGGTGATGTCGGCGAACTCTCAGTAGAGATGACTGATGTCGTCAAGGCAGAGTACATCCGCGATGTGGCGCTCTCAGAGACACCCCTCCCCGGCGTTTCAGGCCGTGCAGAGGATATTTCTTACGGAATCACAGAGTCCGACTATCCCCCTGATCATGTTCACAAGCTGTACGACAACGTCATTCCCTACATCGAGCATGGCCACCTTGACGAGTGGAACAAAGCTCCGTACAACACTTGGGAGCCTCCCCGATCATTCCATCCCGATGTGTTTGCCCGTATGGTCTACCAGGCCACTCTCCCCGACATCCCTGAGGAAGAGGCGAGACCTTTCCCAGAGATGACGATGGGTAGCCGCACCTACACCGCCCAAGACGGATGTGTCTACAAACAGCCAACGGGATCCACATTCCCTCAGACAGAGGTCCGCGGAAAGGAACTCAAGATCCTCCAAGAGATGACCCTTGGCAAGCATGAGTGGGCCGACTTCTGGAGAGAGCTCGCGCTGCAGCAGCAGGTCCTTAACCCTGACATTTACGCTAACATCGTCGAGCACCGTCGCCTCAAGGATGAAGGCCGTATCATCTGCCCTCCTGACTGCTACGACTGTGGCCCAAGTCTTCGCGACTCGCCCACTCCCCTTCGTGCACAGATGTACACCCAGGGCAGCGACGAGGGATTCATGCACGGGGAATGGCTCCAAGGTGACGATCAGCAGATCCGCATGTCCATCCCGCCTATGACACCCCAGTTCCTTCGATACAACTAAATCCAACACTCACCTCTACACATGTACGCTGGTCTCGGAATGACAGGACAGACGCTCTCTCATGAGATGCAATGTCTAGACATCAACCGACCACGCTGAGATGGATTTGTGTCAAGGCTACACTTTCGCACTCGAGTCTTTTGTTGTTTGGCTTCGGCCTTTTGACTCTTGTGTTTCGACTTTCGGTAAGCCCTCTTATGGGTTATGATCTTCTTCGGTTTTCTCCTCCACATCTGAACAATCATTTATCGATGAACCTACACGTCTACAGCAGACAGAACTGCACTCGTCGCAGTCGTACCAAGAAACGCCTCTTGGTCCTCTTCATTCACGATTCTCGATTTCAGATGTTCTTTTCCGGTACTCGTCTCTTTGCGACGAACATCTCTCGCCTTTACGGCAGGAAGTCTGAGGGCAGGCAGCATGCTGTGATTCAGTTCTCGGCTTTGCTTCAGCCCTCTCGACTCTCCTTTACATCCGAATGTCGTCTCTCGATGAACTCGTGTCTTTGCGACCAGCACTGCCTCTACGACAGTCACTACCTCTACGGTAAAGAACACTGGGATTAAGTTCCTGGCTTGTTCCAGTTCTCGAATTTCGCTTTCGGCTTGTCTCTACTTTTCGGATCTCGGTCTTTGTTCTCGATGAACTCGCGCCTCTTCGGCCTGTATTGCCTTCGCGGCAGTCAACCACCTCCCCGGTGGTTAAACTTGATGGGATTTGCTTCTCGGTCTCGTTTTCAGTTCTCGATTTACAACTCACGACTTCCTTTCCTTTTCGCGTCAGAATATCGACCTTTCGATGAACTCGTGCCTTTTCGGCCAGCACTTCCTTCACGGCAGTCAAACTAGATGGGATTAATTTCTCGGTCTTGTTTTCCAGTTCTCGAATATCGACTTCTCGACCATCTCTTCACTTTTTGTTTCTTACATCAGCATCGATCTTTCGACAAAGCTGTGCAGTCACTGCTCTCGCGGAAGACACAACTGTGATTAAGTTCTCGGTTCACACCTCTCGATCATCGACCTCGTCTCTTTTCTTTTCGGATCCGAATCTCAATCTTTCGACGAACTTGTGCCTTCTCGGCCTGTACTGCCTTCACGACAGTCGTCTACCTCCCCGGTAGCCAACCACTCTGGGATTAATTTCTCGGTCTGGTTTACAGTTCTCGACAATTGATTTCTCGACCTTTTCTTTTCTTTCCTTGTCAGATCTGAATATCGACCTTTCGACGAACGCGTGCCTTTACGGCGGTCACTGCTCTCTCTCGCAGTAGGCACTACCTCTACGGTAGACGTACCTGGGATTCAGTTCCTGGTTCTCGGTTCCGATATTTCGACTTTCGATCTCGTCGTTTCATTTCGCCTTTTTGATTTCGCCATTTCGATCGACTCGTGTCAATACTATAGTAGACACTGCAAGGTTATCGTCCATCGGCATTCTCGTTCGTCTCTTGTTCACTACGACAAGAATGATTTCGACAAAGATGGTTGACATGTTCCCATCTCCAGTTATCGGCCTTCAGCGCCTTGCTTATGTTTGGGAATCTCTGCTCGGGATGGAATGGGAATGGGTAGCGGGTCATTATGACCAGTTCGCTAGGGCATCGAGGTTCACTGTATCAATTCATTGTATGGAAAAGGTTTTCTCCTAAAATTTGGGGTATCTCAAATGCCATGTGCGCCGTGACGTGAATGTTTTCAAAGCCAATACCGCCTGCCTGCCCGTTTCATGAAGCCATCATGCTTTTTTCCAGAAGTAACCGAGTCCTTCCAAGTTCATCATCTCTCCAAGTATCATCTATACAACGGCATCGTGATCAAGTCCATTCCATTCTCGCCGATGTTCCATGTCCATGCCACGGCGCCTGTACACGGCTCTTCTTCGCCGGAGGCTCCTCGACTACGAAAAGCTCATCTTGTTCTTCCTCAACCTCCTCCGAGACATCGTTCGCAACAGGCATTCCCATGGCCTCTTCCTCGTCACCTTCGAAAGCCTCGCTGACGCTCTTGTACTGCTTCGCGGGTATATCCCACGGTAGGGTTGTCTGCTTAAGATTGCCCTTCTTCTTGGGTGGTGCTGAAGGAGCCTGTGTCGTAGGTCGTGGGGTCTTCTTCTTCGGCTCATGGGCGTCATGCCCAGCGCGTCTCTTCTTGCCCTGCTTGAGGTAATTCCGTACCAACGCAGCAGGAAGGTTATCCTCCGGTTCCCAGGATGGATTCTGATCAGGAGGCCAGTCGCCTTCCCAGCGGACTTTGAAGTAGCGAACAACCCCAACGCCCTCAACTTCGAAAAACTCCATGCCCTCTAGGCGTTTGACCTCCCAGTCGTCATTTTCTTTGTCTTTGGCTGGCTCTTCTGCCGCGGGAGCTGGCTCAGGAGGCTTTGGGGCCGTCTTCTTTTCCTTGGGTTTACTCTTCATCGATTTCACTTCTGGTATGTACGGATTCCTGAAAGGCTGTGGCTCCAGGCTCGGCGTTATTGCATTCGTGACTGAGAGAGGGATGGCATGTTCTCCAATGGGATCCCATTTCCACTCCGGGCCCGAAAAGAACCCATCACGGCTCTTGGCCACTGTCGGAGGTTTCTGTGTCTTTGAAGAACTTGCTGGTGCCATCTTCTTCTTGCCCTTGAGATTCGGCTTGGTGACTGCTGGCTGTGGTGTACTTTGTCGAGTCGAGGATGCTGTTGAGGGGAGCGATTCAAAGACAGGTTGTTTGCCCCCAGCATTGCTTTGTCCCGACGCACGGGACTCGAGTGCAGCCGTGTGCGACGTGCCCAATTGAGCCACGGGGCGCACGTTTTCGGGTTTTCGAGGAACCAAGTCGGCCTCATGCTCATGGTCCATATCCACGTCTGTTGAGCCCCTTGATGTCTCTTGTTGCAACTGTCTTGAAGGAGTCCCATACTCATCCGACAATCCTTCAAAATCTTGGAGTCTGTTCTCCTTCGGGGCTGATATCGTCATGACGCCCTTCTTAGGTATGGCGGCTGTGTTGCTCTCAGGCTCCGTAACGACAGCAGTTTCTATCTTGCTGTGCTTTGGTGGCCGTCCACGTCTCTTCGGCTTGGATGACTTGTCCACAGCCTGTTCCTTCTTCTCTTGCGCCAACTTCTTGCTGTCCATTTGCTCCTCCATATTATTGAACCCCCACTCCTCGACCTCTTGAGGCGAGACATAGTTGAGGATCTGCATGGCGGGCACCAGCATCCTCGCAGCCGGCAAGTCGTGCCATCCCACGATATAAGTCATCCGTCTCGGAAGAGGCTTTCCATCTGCTGCTAGACCCGGCGAGGGGAGTATGATGCGATCGAGGATGTACGCGGTCGAGTCTCGAGGCGGAAGTAGACTGATGGGTTGGAGGGGAGGACCGCTGCCGGGGACATAACCCCTTGGCTTCTGGTGAATTTGCACTTCTATTCGAGTGCGTACATGATCGGTTTGTTTTCGTTTCTCGGGGTCGACGGCTTCTGACTGCTGGATCGACTCCATCGCGTGCGCGCACACGAGGAAGCTCCACGATCCACCACTTTGAGTCTCAAGACAAAGAAGGTGAAAAGAAAGCGCCGCAACAGCCCAAAAAAGAATTTGACATTAAAGCAACGCGTCAGCGAGCTCTATGATTTTTTCGGGCAAGATCTGAATGGGTTTCTGACGAACTGTTGCGGTCGTTGTTGCTGGCATATGAATTAAACGCGGTTAGCTCTTCCACACAAGCCACCTCGTCGAAAATAGAGATCAGGTGATGACTAAGCCCGCTCTGATCAAGTCTAGAACGCGCAAAGGGCCTTAGAAGCCCTTAGGATCTCTCGTATTATTAAATAAATATTTAATATTAAGAAAAGTATTACTTTATTATTATTTATTTTAATATTAATAAATCTTATTTAAATACTTATAAGTATAGCTATTTAATTAAAAACTTAAAAAATAGCTTTACTTAATTATTATTACTACTTATATATTATAGCTGCTATAAATTAGACCCCCTAGCGCCGACCCGATAATAGCTAACCCAATTGACCTCTCGGGTCGGCAGCGCTTAACCGCGCTTAACACAAGCGCCATCTTTTCTCGCCCTTTCCCATGAGATCACGAACCCAGCTTGTACCGAGCTTCCCCCACGTCAAAAATCCCGTCGACCAAAATCCCGACGTCGACGAAGCTCAATTCTCCAATCTCCACTCCGTACCTAAGTTTCGCATTGAATTAATTGACTCTTTTTTCTTGCGCAATTTTCCCTCGAATCATGGCCTCCTCCCCGCTCAAGACGTTTGTCTTGCGACGACCCGTCACCGGCGTCATCTGCTCTTCGCCGAAAGCTCCCTTCTCGACCTTTCCCGCCGCCTCGTGCCTCGCCCGTTCTCCGCTTCGAAAGCAATGCCTCGCTCCCGTCGTCTCCGTCCCCAAGGCTTTTGCCCGCGCCGCCAGCTCGGGTAAGCCTGATCTAGCCTCGGCCGCGCAGCAGTCCCTCAACGCCACGCCGGGACAGAACAACGCCCACGACTTTGCGCAGGATCCCCATCACGCCCTCGACTGGAACAGCTTCTTCAAGCTCCGCCTCAAGCGCCGCCGATACCAGCTTCTCTTTTCCATCACCAACGGCATGTTCTGCGGAGGCGCCGGCGCCGTGGTCCTCTCAACGGGTGTCGCCGAGCCCGTCATCACCCAAATTCCCCTCGACCCATTCATGACGCTGGGCATCATGACTTTCGCCTTTTCTGGTCTCGGTTGGTTGATCGGCCCCAGCATCGGCAATCAGTTCTTCTACGCCTTGAACCGCAAGTGGAAGAAGCAGATGACGCAGAAGGAGGCCGAGTTCTTTGAGCGCATCAAGAAGCACCGGGTTGACCCCACCAACTCGAGCGCCGCCAACCCTGGTATGACCTGATTTTCTTATCTGATAATCTATACACAGAAACTAATTGATCACAGTTCCCGACTTTTACGGCGAAAAGATTCAGAGCGTGGCTGGTTACCGACAATGGCTAAAAGATCAAAAGGCTTTCAACAAGAAGAAGACTGCCAACTTTGTGTAAAACAATAACAACAAAAACTTGTCTTGGCTAATGGATAATGGCTTTTTCTTCATTGGCAGAGCAAAACAAAAAATCTTCATATGTAATGATGGCGCAGCTGACGGGCAGGGATGGGCCGCCCTTGATGTTGCGGCCCCGGATCATCGCGGGCATGTATCTATATCGTCAAATCTCTTATCCAATAACAAACTCTCTTCCTCTTTTCACTGGTTTCATATTTGGCTATCTAGTGTGTGACTATATGAATGGTACGCTTGGGTCGACGTTGGCTTTCCAGGATCTCATGCCTCCTTGAATGTCACCGATGAAGCGCTCCCCATTGTTCCCCAGCCCTAGGTCCTTGAGCTTCTTCGCAGCAATCTGCGAATCATTACCAACTCGACAGACGATATAGATGGGTGCGGACGGTGGCAGGTCGGTTGGCCAACCCTCGGGTATTGTCTCGCCACGAGCGTTCATGAATCGACTGATGGGGATGTTAACCGAGCCTGCAATGTTGCAGAGATCAAAGTGCTCCTTTTCCCGAACATCCAACAGCAAGTGCTCCTCCTTCTCTGCCTTGGCAACCTCTTGGTATTCTTTGGCGGATATTCTCTCTTGGGGTTGAAGAAGCTCGACGGGCTTCATCACTCCGCAAAACTGGACATAGTCCATCGATGTCCTCAACTCATTCAACGTCAATGCATTCTCATCTCCACATGCAAAACACGTCTTTCTTCGGCCTCTCATCCTCACAGACCGAAAGGGGGTATCCGCCAAGGCACTAAAGAGAAGCAGCATCGGGGTCTTGGGCTCCCTTTCCTGGATTTCTAGATCGCCTCGAGTGATCAGCTTGATAACCTCCAGAGCCTGCAAGACACCCATGACGCCGACAACAGGCCCAATGATACCGCCCTCACCACAGCCTACAACGCTCTCTGGCGGTGGGGGAGTGGGGAATACGCAGCGGTAGCATGGTCCTTGGCCGGGAGGGTTGTTGAGAACGATGAGCTGCCCCGATGTTTGGAATGCAGATGCTGAGATGAGGGGCTTGGAGAGTAGGACGCAGATATCGGAGATGAGATATCGCGATGTGGGATGATCGGTACAGTCAAGGACGAGATCGTACTTTGAAACAATATCTTGAGCGTTTTGCGGTGTGAGGTGAGTCTTGTGGGCATGATACGTAATGGTTGGGTTAAGTCTATAGTTGTTAGTCTGCTCTATCAAACTTGTGAGAGAACTTACTCTCTCAGATATGTGATCGCACTCTCCACCTTGCTCATACCGACACGACTCGTCGAATGGGCTATCTGACGATGGAGATTCGACACCTCAACTTCATCGCCGTCAACCAGTCCAATGACGCCGATTCCTGAACCCGCGAGATAGACCGCAGCTGGACATCCGAGACCCCCTGCGCCGACGAGGAGCACTTTGGCTTTTCTCAACCTCAACTGGCCTTTGACAATATTAGTAATATCCCTTGATGAATAGGCTAAGGAATATACATACCCTCAAGGCCAAATTTGGGAACAATCATCTGTCTACTGTACCTCTCATACTCATGCGTATCAAGCGGCCACTTCCAAGCTTGTTTGTTCTCCCTCTCCTCGAACTCGGCAGCAGCAAGCTGTGACCGAAGGTCAGCGAGCTCAGCCTCTCGCTTTGCAATCTCCTTTCGAAGCTGATCTATCTTGTCCATCTTTTACTCGAGCATATGAAAAGCTGGGGGAAAAAAAAGGTTGAGTCAGGAAGCTTATTCATGGCTCGCCAACTGCCCCTCCATCCACCGTGTGACAAAGTCCCGGTGTACCCCACCATGACCTCGGTGAACAGACCCTTGACCGAAAATAATTCCAACACCAAATCTTCAACACCAAATCCCAACATCTCAACTTCCTACAACCCAATACACAATTCAAAATGGTGAGCCCTTCTTACCCATCTATTTAAAAACGAACGCTGACAGTCTCAGGCTCCCCAACCACCCGGCCTCAAGAAACCCTCCGCTCGAACCCTCCGTCACCAGCGCGTAACGGGCCAAATTCACCCCCTCGCCCCATCAAAGACATTCCGCGACGATGCCGCAGTCTCAGACTCGTTCCTCTCCAGCAAGCGCGACAAGCGCCTCATCAAGCACTCCTCCTTCGTCTCCCGCATCGCCTCCTCGTCGCGCGTCTCCAAGGCGAACAAGCGCCGCAGACCGTCAAAGAAGCTCGCAGCCACCCTCGACAGCCTCGCCGATGCCCTACCCGAGCTCGATGACGATGCTGGACAGCCTGGAAAGGTCAAGCACAAGAGTTTGAGGAGCAAGAAGGGTGCGCTCAAGAAGAAGGAGATGGTGGTCAAGGGCGAGATGGAGAGGTTTGGCGTTAGTATGGCGAGGTTGACTGGGGCGCCTCAGGAGAATGCGGCACCTGCTGGAGTGCAGCATGATGATGATGACGATGATGAAGATATGGATAAGGCCAAGGTGGGAGAGTCCAAGCCTGCTGCCCCTGCACCGACTGCAAACCGATGGGCTGCTCTACGGGGGTACATCTCGGCGACGATGGAGCAGAACCCGGCCTTCACAGGGAACAACTAGTCTGGATCTGTGATTAAACTTTGCGGAGAGGCTCGATTGATACCATTGTATGGAAATACTGGTTGGGAGTGCCTCATCAAGGCGAGGCACTCAACGACCTTGGAGCTGTTGTCAGGAGTTTGAGGAGTTAGGGATTCAAAAAGCATCATGCAGAACTATGAAACAATCACGACACAATAGACAAAGTACATTCAATAGAGCTCAATTGTTATCAAGATACAACTATTCCTCATAAACGCTATCATGTGCATGTCATGACGCTTCCACAGCATATTTTCCCTTGTCCTTGTCAACGCCGCACTGGCTACCTCAACTCCACATTGCATTACTCGTCATCCGAGTATCATTCCAAAAGATCAAAAACAGAAAGGCGTATTAGCATAATTGCTCTCGTCCATCACCTGGTGATTGCGTCCAGGTGCACAAGGTGTCTCGCTTCGCTGTCGCTGCATTACCATCCAACGCCAACAATACATGAGCTTCTCATCGAAGCAGAAAAAAAGAAACAGAAATAAATCAACTCGACCGTCACGCATCCTTCGTAAATTTCATTACAATAGTGGAACAGACATCTCCGTTTGTCCTGACTGCCTCAGTCCGAGTCCGCATCCGAGTCGGCTTTCGGCTGTCGCTTGCTCCGAACCTTGACAGGAGTGAGACTCTTTGAGCTGCGAGAGCGCGTCTCAGGCTTGGTGACTCGATAGCTGGGGTCGGACGATGAAGGAGATGATGAACTCTGGCTAATCGACCGAGTTCTAGGACGGAGTCGAGATCTCATCCCAGTCCAAGGAGGCAGATCGCTCTTCTCTGGTTCAGCGGCATCACTGCGACCTTTGTCGACCTTACGCCCACTCGGCAACTTCTTCTTGGTCGTCGCCTTGGCCTTAGGCTTGGTCACGGACCGTCTTCGCATCAGGTTCTGCAAACGCTCCTCGAATTCTTCGTAAGAGCCGTAGCAGTCCGTTCTCTATTCGATCCGCGGAGGCGTCTTGTTCGTGAACGGGCTGGCGCTTCTCCTATCTTGATTATTAGACACTTCACAGAAATGGGGAACTTCAACACTCACGATCGCCTGCGTTCACCCTCCTTGCGAAGGTTCTCAATGATGCGAAGCATCTCCTTGCGGCCGCCGTAACTATCGACCATTTTTCCGCCCATGCTCATGGACACCTTCTCGCGGGCATTAGCGCAGAGAAGGCGCTTGACTAGGAGATGTCGCATCAATAGGCAAACAAAGACACCGCAGTCGCTTCCGTTCTCCTGCTGAGGGCAATCTTCGAGGTTGATGAATCGCAGAGGTCGTTGCAGCACCGTGGCAAGCTTGCGCGTAGCAAGGTTAGCCTCGGCATAGTTGGCACCGCCGAGAGAATCGTAATGGAAGGCCACGCCATCAAGAGTCGAGACGAGGAGTAGTGACCAGTGGCTACCACCCTCAGCGACACCCACATTACGGTTGTCGTTGATGGGCAGGAAAACGTGCGTGACCTTGGAGAAGTCGGGAAGGGCGGATCGGACCGAGCGCAAGTCGGGCTCCTTCATGAGGAGAAACGTCATACTAGGGCGGAGGAGGACAATGCGTGCTTGGGGATACCGAGGAAGTGTTTCGCGCTCGAGGTACTCCTCCCAGAAGGCGATGTTGTTGTCTGTCAACCAGTCGTGCTTCAGAGACTTGATATCTTCGGCCGTGAGGAGAACATCGTAGTAGCTCAGATATGGCTTTTCGGGCGCAAGCTGTAATCAGTGTCAGCACCGTTTCAAGCAAGTAGGGTGCATATGCGAGCCGGTGATCATCCCAATGGCGGCGCAGCGGACAAGAGCACGCGCCCAGGTGCGGAGGCGGGGTTGCACGTACAGAATCGCCAAAGTGGCGGGCCATCCTCTGACGAAAAGGCATCTTGGAGTCTTTCGTCTGGGGAGGTATTGAAGGGGAAGTGTTGGCGGAAGAATTCGAAGTCGCAGGCGTGATCTCGTGGTCAGAGTTGGCGGTTAACGTAGAGCTCGAGGTGTCGATAGACCCGGAGCTGCCTGGTCGTGATCGGCGCCGGCGGAACGAGAGCCAAGAGCGAATACGGCTGCAAAGGTGCAAGGTCAGTGGACGATGTCGAGCGAGTAGAAGCGCAAGCAGCAGTAGTTGGCTTGAGAGACGAGAGAAGCGCAGATCGCAAGTGGGATGAAGAAAGAACAGAGAGCGATGAGTGGAGAGATGAAAGCGTTGGTTTGGTTTTTTCAAGTTGTGTAAGTGAGAAGACTGGGGGAGGGATGGAAGGAGGGGAGTTGGGTATATGCGGTTTGAGTACAAACGAAACAAACAGGGCGAACAATAGGAGAATCCGTACACAGTAATTCAATAAATCGTGAGGTTTTTGTTCCGTTTTGGGCTATTTTCCCACGAGACTTGGGTATCGTCGTGTGACGTGAAAAAAAAAAACTGAGATGAAGGTGAATGCGAGGAGAGGAAGAGGGAAAAAAAAAACTGGAGCGGGAGGGCAGTGTTCAGTGCTAAAGATGGGGGAGTCGATGGGGAGGCTTAGTTGGCGCGTTTGCAACTGAGGCTCAGCCCGAAAAGGGCCAAGCTTCCATTGACTGGGGCGGGGCGAAGGCTGCAACGGCAGTCTAGCGGCACCCGCATCCGCTGGGAGGCCCCCTGCAACTCGGGCCATGTAAGAGGACCCTGTCGTTCTGGTTGTCGCTGGCCTCGTTGCATGCAACCTCAGTCGATTGCTCGACTCTCCTTGGTCTGCCGTTGCACATATGCATGTATGTATTGCAGGTTTCTGTCCTCGGCTGTGACTCGCCTCGCGCCTAGAGCGTGACGGGACGGGTAGCATGGGATGGAGAGTCATATGCCCGCCGGACCACACGGGGACGGACAGCAAGGATGCCCCGAGGTCGGTCGAGGCACCATGGGACGAGGAGGCAGTCAGGCAACTCTGCCCTCAGGAGAACACCAGCGTCCCAATTGGGGTAATTAATCGGAACAATAGCAGAAACTCGTCTTCAAACTTCAAACATCAAACACAGACAAACGAAACATGGACCCAAGTCCGCTGTTGCAGCACATACCTTGGCGTCCCCGCTTCATCCGAGGCCATCGTACCACTCAGGTTTCAAGTTGCTCTGTGGTATCCTCCGTCTATGAGAGAGCCAGCGCAATATGGTAGGGGTGTCGTCTCGTCTGTTGTCGATGGGATGGGTCCGTGGTCGATTCGATAGAAAGTTGAAACAATGCTAGGGGCCACCCAGAGTAGTTAATCAGGGTCTGGAAGTAACAAGGTTCCAGATTAAATAGATATTTCTCGTACAAGAACGAAATTAACTATTAGCCTTTTAAGCAATCAATAACTCTACTCAAATTCATCTGCGAGGGCATCGCACACCTTATACTTGACTGGCTCCCGCCTGGCAAGCCAAGCTGAGCTGATCATGCCCGCGCCTCGAAGCCAAATACGTCACCTCCCAACATCGTCATCGCTCGCTCCAGTCCACGCCCACACAGCGTAGCCTTCAACCGCGCTACCGATCGCGCCGCCCATCAACGCCTCATTCAAACGCCCCCGGACTCAAAACTCCATCATCAGCATCACCAGCCCTTAATCCTCCCTAATTGAGTCTAGCCCCTGGCCTGCCCAGCCAGGTCCTCTCCTCCCGGCTCATCATCCCATTCATCCGCTCGACCCTTGAGAGTCCCAAATTGTTGCATCATCTGGTGATCGTTTCGCCTGCAACCAAACCCATTGCAACCGTTAACCACGAAGCATCATCATCGCGAGATCTTCTCTTCTCGATCAAAATCTTGTCAAATTCACCTTCTGGTCTAGCCACGGACAAATACATCTGCCAAGCCCCGGTCGTCCGTCATCCTCATGGGTAGGAAACCTGCCCGTGCAATCAACCTTCAAAATCCCTGCCGCCACTGAACCCTGATCTTCCTTCGCACGTCCCTGAGAACCCACTCGCATATGAAACTTTGCCCATCAACCTCACATCTGCAAGTACTCTGTCCCATCTCCCCGGTGCTCTCTGTGCGTCCCTGGGTGCATACTCCGTGTACATCTTGTATCTTACTCATGTGCTCAAAACATCTAAATGCCCTCATCCTCCACCATCTTTCGCTTCAAGAGTCGGCCGTGAAGGGCCCGCAAGCCAGTGCTCGCTTGCTGGTATAGCTGACGTCGCTTTGTCGCCGCTTGCTCCAGCTGGTGCATCGCCTTCCCCCGCGCCTTTTCGCCGTCCTCAACGGTTTCTCTCGCTTCGCGAACTCGCCGAGCGAACCTATCACCATCCTTCTTACACGCATCGGCCAGCGCATTCCGTTCTTGGCTGTACTTTCGTTCAATCTTGTCCACGCAATCGATCCCGCCCTTGCGATAGGCATCCGCCCCGCGGTAAATGGTCGCTTCCTTGGTTGCCAGGTGACTCAACATTGTCTAGGCAGCATGTAAGCACGGCATCTCCCAATGACCAAGAAACCTACCTCAACCAGCGCGTGGAGTTTCCCCGCCACTTCGTCTGTCGGTTTCTCGGAGTGTGTTTGCTCGGCAACTTCATTGCCCTTCTCCGTAGTCTTAGTCCGCTTCCCTTCATCCACCACCACGGTTGCCTCGTCCTGCCCTTGCAGAGACTCAAAGATCTGGCTCTCCAGGTTCTTGTTGAGCGCAGTGAGGACAGGAAGAAGATCGCTCTCTTGCTCTCTCTGTTCGTTTCGTGGGCGTGCTTTGAGCTCAATTCTGGTCTTGTCGTAGTTTGGCTCTGCCACTGCCAAACCTGAGATGTATCGTTGCTGTAGATCGCTGCCTAGAGAATCTGAGGATTTCTATCCCTCAGGTCGCTGAAGGCGCTGAGACCTTCTAGGCCCAGATCGCTCTCTGTCAAGCACCCGGTCCTTCAATCGTGGACTCTGGGCCTTGATGGGGCTCGATTCATCAATCAAGAGACCTTGTCCCGTCTCGACTGGTACCGGGCTTCCCCCCTTACTGATACTGAAACTCCGTGACATTTTGCTACTCTTGCGGCGTTGAACAAAACCTGCCTTGTTAACTCTTGTAGAAGTCTCCTTCGAGATACCTGCTCCCCGGGTAGTACGGAGAGCACCTTTCACAGGGATGTTGGGGTCACGATGAGAGAGAGCTTGGGGAGCGTTGACATTGGTTTCGCGACTTCGCTTGCGAATATTGGTGGGTTCTTCTGCAGGCTCTTTCGGTGCAGCTGCATTCATTGACGTTGTATCGACGATAGCTTCCTTCGCCTTGAGTGCGTTAGAAGGCTGGGAAGCGGCAGACGAGAGGGGCTCCTGTGGTAACACTGCCACCTGCTGGTCTATACCATGTTCCAGAGAAGTGTTTGGTGTCGCCATGGGAGGCGCATCGGTTCCTGCCATCGAATTTTGTGCTGCAGTTCGAATTCCTTGCGATGGCCTCGGCGGCTCTGTCCGTTTAGACTCGTATTCTGATATCGATGAACTGGCCGGGTCGCTTGCTACCACGATCGGGTCATGAGATAACCCTTGAGAGCCTGCGTTAATCTCTGAGCCCTGCTCCCCTCGTGCAGCTTTGGTCTTTGACTGGGCTGCTGTCCTCGCCCTCGTGTTGATGGCAGGCTTGGGTTCAGTGAATTCGGTTGTGTCGACGACGATGACAGAGGCATCTTCGTACTCCTCCTCGACAAATATTTTGCGTTTCTTTCTGGGTTGTGCCTTCCTCTTAACCGGCTTGGGCGCAGGTTTTGGGGTAGACTTTGGTGCAGCTTTCCGGGTAGCCTTGGGTGCCGCCTTCTTTCTTGCACTGAGAGCCGGGGAGCTTGAGGCAATGCTTGCCTGTTTCATGGCGTTCACGAGGGTCATTCTCACTGGGGGGTCGCCATTCTTCTTCGGTTGGGGGGTTTCCTTGATCGCTTGAGTGTCCTTGTCAAACTGAATCGGCGTCTTCGCACGTTGCTTTCGCTTCTTCCCCTTCTGACCTTGTCCTGCTGCTTGGTCATCTTGCGCTTGGGGGGTGGCCTGCTTGTCCTCGGTTGGTCGCTTTTCTTGGATAGTACTCGTCTTGTCTCCCTTTCGATGAGTTTCGCGGGGCTCTGGGTCATCGGGTGATGAAATGGATACTACTTCATCGCTCACAAAGTCTGTATCTTCGATGTACTTGGCCAAACCCTTCTTTGGGTGCGGGGTTTGGGCTGGCTTCTTGCTCTTCGTCTGCGATGGTGCCGAACCCTGATCATGCTTGACATTTTCTCGGGGAGCCTGGGAGCGTTGCGGCGGAGGAGCGACTGGACGCTGTGCACTCGACCTAGGAGGGGTGGCATCGTAGAGCTCATCCGCTGGCAGGTGTTCAATTGGTTTCTCTGGTAGATAACGTGGCATTTCGGGCAGTTGCAGAGAGTCGAGAATGGTGCTAGAAAGTAGGGGCTTGTTACTGAGTAGTTCCCACGATTCCTCGGTTGCGATTTGAGAAGCGAACGGCGAGCTCCGTCGCCCTGTAGAAGCCGTTTCTGAGAAATCCACTACAACGACAGCTTCGTTTGGTAACTCTTCCAGATGGGCGTTGAGGCTTTGTGTGAGTGGCTGAGTTTTGGGGAGGTCTCCCTGCCCAGACTTTGGGCTAGAGAATGCATCAATCAGCGATCCTTGGTTATCAAACTGCCAAATATCCTTGGATGCCTCGCTGCCGCGAAGTGGTGAGCTCCGGCGAGTCAAGGATCCAGTTTCGGACCATGAAAAGTCGTTGGCAGGTGCAGGTTGTGTTTTCGGCTCTTCGAAGGGGTCCAAATTGATCAGATCAACATCGTCTACTCCATCATCGAATTCATCGACGAAACTCAACTGTTGCTTCTGGTTTGTAGTCGAACCTTTGACCCGCGCGGTTTGATCACTGTTATTCCGACCTTGCGATTTGGAGACTGGCGTCTGTTTATGGTGCTCCTCGGGAGATTGGAGGTGACGGGACGTCGGGGTAGTTTCGAGCTGTCCGAACTCTGTTGACAAAAGCCTGGGCTTTCCACGCTGAGTGGATTTGCCACCCTTCCGTGGCATGCCTGCGTATCCGTAGGCTCCGCGCAATTGTTAGATGCGTCTGGCGGGGTATTGGCAGAGAGCTCCAACTTACACTATTGCCAACAGCTGCAGCAAGCCACTTGGGGCCGAAGTCGCGATATCGTCCAACGCAAACGACAGTGATTTCGTGTGCGAAAAAGTCGTATCGCTTGTGCCAAGGTCCTCAATCGTAGAGGGATGAAATGTCGAAATTATGGTGCTGAGGGGAAATTCCCAAGATCTTGGGACGTTGGGCGTTCTGGTGCAAGGTGAGGAAGCAGCGATGTCGACCACGCCTGCAAACCCAGGTCCCTAAGAAGGTCCTTCCCAGCACAAATAATCGCACTCAACCTCACAAAGTTCAATGTGTTGGATGACTTTGCAATTTATTATTGCGCTGGAATGATCATCAGGGTAAAAAATAAGGGAACGAGGACATTTTCTTTACAGAAGCAATCCATCGCAACTTGGAGGGCAGGAGCGTCTCAGTCGTGACGTGGGTTATCGCTGGTGATTGGCGCCGATAAGAATTCATCATGCACCTGCCCAAAGGTACCGGGTAGATGTACCGCCATTTCATGGAAGGTCATGCTTCAAAAGATGGACGCAAAAAGGCAACATGGAATTAAAAAAGTATGGAAGATGAAGAGGATTTAGTGTTCTATACGGCCATGTATTAGCATGACGCTTACGCTCTTGATTTCTATCAAAATGTTCTTGTCTTGGTGAGATCTAAGAAGTTACGCGTCATTCATCAGTGTGACAAGCTTCATGACGCACCCGACTTGTAACGATTGACACCCAGGATCCTCAGCAACATGCATTTCCATTGCGAAGCAAACTCTCCAGGTGAATATTCATTAAATGAACATAATAGTGACCAGCCCAAGATCCGCATGAATCAAGGATTTGAGACGCTTCAGCTCAAGCTCCGACGGACGAATTCTACATCTGCAATGCCGGGCTGATCTGGGGTCAAGACCATAGACCCTGGATGATTCATAATGATAGGTAGGAACACACTATTTATCATAGGATAGCCCGATGGTCCGAAGGTGAAATGCATTGATATTAAAGAAGCAGACGAGCGGACTTCGGGGACCATGTCGCCCCGACACCGACCATGATGTCGTCGATGCACCGGGATTATTCAGCACGTTCCAGCCAGACGGCGGACTTAAAGCACAGGCATCAGTGGAGAAGTCCGCGACCTCCGCATCTCGCTTTGGATCGTCCGGGTCGTCGGTCTCATAAATACTCCTGAACAACATCGCTGGCTTCGATAACACAAGGCTGCTCGCTCGTCATCATTTAGAGGTGCTAGACGTTTACGGTACTTCAGAACGGCACTGCAGTAAGGTCACCGAGTTAAACCTTAAGCAACCCAGTCAGAATCGCCATGTCGCAGCACGAAGAGCAGCCTGGCGTCGCCAGCGCAGTCAGCGATGCGGGCACCAAGACCTGCGCCCTCGCCAGCTTGTGCAAGCTCAGCGTTGCGCAACGCCCCGCGCCCGAGCCAACGCTCGTGCCAAAGTATCCTGCTGTTTCGTCGATACCTCGCACCTCCGCGGAACGTCTGGCGCTGGCCGCCGAAGATGTCGTCGATGATCCCGACCACTCAAAGCCCAACACCTATCTCTATCTCGCCTACGGATCCAACCTGTGTGCGCAAACCTTTCTCGGCATGCGAGGTATTCGTCCACTATCGCAGGTGAACGTCTCAGTACCTACGTTGGAGCTCAAGTTCGACCTCCCAGGAATTCCTTATCGCGAGCCTTGCTTTGCGAATGTTGGATACAGGAAGCTGCCCGATAAGCCGAAGCTGCCTCCCAAGATCCCGTTTGATCCCCCGCGGCCTCCCCATTCAGAGTCTCAATGGGATGAGGGTCTTCTGGGTGTAGTGTATGAGGTCACAGAGGAAGACTACAAGACCATCATCCGCACCGAGGGTGGTGGAACAGGCTACAAGCAGATCATGGTGCCATGCCTTCCTCTTCCTCCCAAGATGTCTATTCCGGAGAAGCCTTTCCCTGAAATTCCAAAGCCATTCCTGGCCAAGACGCTCTTTGCACCTCAGATCCCCGATTCTGATCTGCCCGATGATCCTCGCAAGAAGAAGTGGTGGTATCGCTTCCTGATCCACCCCGTTCGAGAGCCCGGCTATGCGCAGCCAAGCGCTCGTTACCTGAACCTGATCCGGGATGGTGCTAAGGAGCATGAACTCCCCGAAGGTTACCAGCGCTGGCTTAATGGTATGCCGACTTACACCATCACCAACTGGAGGCAGCACATCGGCGCCGCGGTGTACTTGGTTATCAGCCTCGTCTTCTTCGCAATTATGGCCCTATCCGGTCCTCTGGCGGACAAGGATGGGAAACTGCCTCGATGGCTAGCCCTTGCTACCACTGTCTTTTTCAACTTGAGTTGGATGATGTATGATGGCATTTTGAAACCGGTCTTGGGAGATGGTGAGAGAACTGAGGAGACGGAACAGCGCTGGGGACACAAGAAGAAGTCTTCATGGTCCCAAGTTCGACAACGAATCCCGCACTTGGATGAGGAAAAGGTGGGATTGCTGAAAGAATTTGACTGAGCTCACAGGAGAGAGCGTCGGCTATACGCCATATATGTTGTAAGCGATGATTATCCACGGATTGAGAAGTAACCAATCATTTACTGCTTTTTTTCTTGAATAATATAACACTACTGGTTGAATAATAAACCCTGGAGCACTCTGGTGCATGTCTCTCATCCACTGCGTGCCAAGATGTTACACAAGCTGCCTTTGGCGGATGAAAGGGACGGAAGTGGCTCAACCAGCATGGTTGGGGTGAAACTGGTTGCGGGAATGCGTCTTGTTGAGACCTAGCGCACGCCTGTCGACATCGAGTGCTTTCAAGTCAATGTAACGATGCATCCTCGGTATCAAGGATGAGATATGACGCGATTCCCAGCGGCGGGCAGCTCAAGGGCCCTTTATCCGTCAACCTCGCACATCCACAAGCTCATGATCTTGACCTCAACGGCATGAGCCGTCACGCGACCGTAGCCAGCCGCAAACCAGGGAGGAGGATCGGCCCGCGGTCGTTTATGTTTAGCAACGGGGCTCGGTCCTGTTCCTGGATTGTGCTGCATGCAATGTCGCCCCCCGGATCCCCAAGAACGATGCTGATGCTCAAGATCCTTGTCAGCTTCACATGTGAAAATGGATATGCCCACGCAACACCAAAAAAAAAGCTGCGATTTCAGCTGTTGGTTTTCATGTCCCCGCCGCATGTGATGGCCTCGGCCGGTCGGAGGTCGGTGGCCCCGATCCCAGGCTCATCCTTCCGGCCCTTGCCCCGGAAAATCGATGGGTTTTGATGGGACGCTTGACTGTTTACGGCAGGCGGTGTCACCCGCCACTTTACTGCCCTGCGTCATTGTGGCTTGCTCCAGGGTTCAACAACCTTGGGAAGCTGAGTCTGGGCCAGACAAATCCATCGTATATCTCCTACCCCTCCTCTCTCACAAGCTTTAGCTCTTGCTCTTTCCTGGTACCTTTTGCTTCGATTTTGCTTGCTCTCGCATGTTTCGTTCCCTCGTCTTGCGACCTTCTTCTGTCTTGATCAAATCAAAAAGAATTCTTTCTTGCACACGCAGCTACTCCACGACGACATTCGGCAACATGACGAACTTGGGCGGGCATTCAAAGAAGCACAAGGTGACCATTGTGGGATCCGGCAATTGGTACGCCAAACCCTTTCCGAAGCTCAATTCAGCTTTGCGCAGCTTGCTAACATCTTTTCCCGTGATCCAGGGGCTCAACGATTGCCAAAATCGTTGCCGAAAACACCCGCGCAAACAAAGACGTCTTCGAGGAAGAGGTCCAGATGTGGGTCTATGAGGAAGACGTGACCATCTCCAAAGACTCCAAGTACTATGACGAAACGATTGGCGACAAGCCTCAGAAGCTCACCGAGGTGATCAACAAGCATCACGAGAACGTCAAGTATTTGCCAGGCATCGCCCTGCCTCCCAACATTGTCGCCAACCCTGACATTCGCGCCGCCGTCAAGGACTCCACCATTCTCGTCTTCAACTTGCCCCACCAGTTTATTGCAAATGTTTGCAAGCAGATCAATGGGCATATCCTACCCTTCGCCCGTGGTATCAGCTGTATCAAGGGTGTCAACGTCACCGATGACGGTGTGAGCCTGTTTAGCGAGTGGATTGGTGATGGCCTTGGCATCTACTGCGGCGCGCTCAGTGGTGCCAACTTGGCCCGTGAGATTGCCGAGGAGAAGTGGTCGGAAACGACCATTGCTTATGACCCCCCGGCTTTGGACAATAGCAGAGCTCCATCGCCGCGAGATGGAAGCCCCAACCCTACAATTGGCGAGCTTCCTGAGATCCGCCACAAGGATGTCCGTGGCCGAACCTCCAAGACCAAGCTGACCGCTATGCCCGCCGATTACCCTCCTCTGGACCAGGACTGCTTCCGCACCCTGTTCCACCGACATTATTTCCATGTTCAGATGGTTTCTGACGTTGCGGGTGTGTCATTGAGTGGTGCGTTGAAGAACGTCGTCGCTCTCGCAGCCGGTTTCGTTGATGGTCGTGGCTGGGGTGACAATGCCAAGGCTGCCATCATGCGTGTTGGTCTCATGGAGATGGTCAAGTTCGGCAAGGAATTCTTTGGCGAGACTGTGCACACTGCTACCTTTACAGAGTCATCGGCTGGTGTTGCTGATCTGATTACCTCCTGCTCTGGTGGTCGTAACTTCCGCTGTGCCAAGAAGTCCGTGGAGAAGGGTATCTCGGTGCAAGAAGTCGAGCAGCAAGAACTCAATGGACAGAAGATCCAGGGTACCACGACGGCAGAGGAGGTCAACAGCTTTTTGAAGGCGAGAGGACTGGAGTCAGAGTACCCCCTGTTCACCGCAGTACACGCCATCTTGAATGGCCAGGCCAAGGTGGATGATATTCCCAACCTTGTTCAAGACTCTTGAAATATCAGAATTATGGTATAGGGCTGGGAGACAACATTGGTTGGACGGTTGGTCAATATGGAGCGGCGTTGGTATGGCTCAGATGGGTAGTTTACGTGGGTTTACTCATAGTATCAGGCAGGCGAATTCGGAATGAATTGTGATTTACAGCGATGAACTTGTACAAGTTGGGTTTATGGTCTTGATATGGTTACTGCTCTGATAGGTCAAATTGCTGACTATCATGGTATTTCTATGCGAGTTCCAGTCGCTCACACAGGGTTGACGCCCCAAAAGTCCATTGACTTGTTCACATCAACAAACAAATCCTCAAAGTTGTTAAACGAGTCCACAGTCAAGGCCCAATCCATGAACTCTGTCAGGCCTTCTTCGGCGGTCTGTCCAGTCTCAACGTTATCTCTTTCCCCTACTGTCATTCCCGCCACTCCATCTACTACCCCCGTCTCTGCGCCGGCGGTAATACCACTGCGTAATTGGTTCATCAACAGGTCTGCCTTTGTCGTGAGATTCTTTGTCACACTTGCTGCACTCGCAGCAATGGCAAAATGGCTACCAAATACCTCAAATACCTCGACGGCCTTGTCAATTGCTCTCCGAACGCTGCTCGTCGCGGCGTTGATGGGACACGCGAGCACAAATCCGATCATGTTGACTGTGGCGTTCCACTGCCAGATAAAGAACTCTTGCCAGCCGTTCATGATATCTGTTTCCTGAAGAGTCTGGTGTAGGATGTGGGTGTATGCCGCGGCATGGTTTGCGCAGGTCGCTGCGTGGCGTTCTGCGGTGGGCGTGTATGTCCCTGGTGGAGGGGCAAAGTTGATGAATGGGCGGTGGAGGTTGGATTGAAGAGTGTGGTAGATGAGTTCGAGGCAGATTCGGTGTCTTTGCAACCAGAGTGGTGCACAGGAGTCGATTAGGACGGGGGCTCGATCGGCGGAAAAGGGGGCACCCGAGTCTCGCCGTTGAAGCCTCAAGCCGGGGGGAACTTGATCGGCCCACGCTTGAAGAGCAGGCAATTGGCTAGTAATAAACTTGGCGCAGGATTCAAGGTCCTTGGAGTTCTTGTAGGGCGTCGAGTGACGGCTTTGTCCGAGAATCTCAGAACATCTCTCGTAAAACGCATTGTGGATGTCTGTAGAGACAATTATGAGTTTCTGGTTCTGAGCGGCGTATGTGAGCCATGTGACTCCATCATAAGACCCCAGACTCGAGTCGAAGAAGGAAGCAGCTTCTTCATCGTCGCTGATAGGGGAGACTGTGATCTGAGATCTTTGCATCGAGATTGGTCTGCCGACTTTCATGGAGGTCTTGGAATCGTTGATGAATGTCGCCCACCAGAGCCTCTTTCGAAGTTCTTTCTCGGCCCTTGGCATCGATGCTGGCGGTTCGAGATGTAATCCAAGTGTTTGAGCTATAGACATGGCGGCGGCGAGGGTTGAGTGCGCCATGTTCTGGAAGGATGCGCAGCAGAGGTACACGACGGAGAAGAGGTGACACTGCAGCGTCGTAATCGAAGGGCTTTCCAGCTCCGAGGCGAGGAGGGTTTGGCATCTTCGGTAGTACCATCGGCCTGCGATGCTAGCATCATCTTGATCGCGGTTGTTGGCGCCAGAACCCCGGAGCAGGAATGCGCAGCCGTACTGCATCGAGATGGCGAGGATGATGTCTACCAGTGCAGATGGTTTGCGATAGGAACTCAAACCGCTCCATAAAGAGTTGTGAAGCTTCCGAAATTCACCCTCTTGGATGATGGGTATGTTGGCGTGGTGTGATTCCCAGAACAGGTTGAGGAAATACTCCTCCTGCATACGAGACATGGACGGCTTAGGAGCTTCAACTCGACGGTCTGTTCGAGATATGGCGTCTTCTTGGCTTGTAGGATCATCGAGTCTCCTGTTCATCCCCTTTGGTTCCATGCACCTGTGTGGCAGTGGCTGATGGAAGGCTTGGCTTAGAAAGCAACCGATACGGTTGATGAAGTAGTGGGATGAGGATGGGCCATAGTAAGACGTTTGGTCGGAGCGACCAGATGCTGTGTAGATTCCCTCCCATTGCCTTTTCGGTGGTGACAGTACAGGTGTCGGGCTTGAGGGTGAGGGACGTAGTTGAAGTTCGGTCGATGAAGGAGTTGAGTGAGTAGGGGTGGGGATGCCAGCAGGTAGTGATGCAGCAAGACGGTGAGCTTCCTCTAGTTGAGTCTCTAACTCTTCCACTCGACGTCTAAGTCTCTCTATTTCCCTACACGAAGAAGGGTGTTAGTAAAACTCCACCGCTCGACATTCTAAACTTACTGCAACGCCTGGGGAAGAGTTCGAGACTCGTCATTGAATCTCCCCCTGCTATTACACTGCAGCCCTTTCTGCCTACAAGGCCTACATGGCTTCCCATGATCACACTTTACCCGTCTCGAGCGACAGTGATCACATGCCCGCGAGACTTGCTTCCTTGATGGTTTCGACAGCGTAGGAGAACAAATTTCAGTCCTGCCCTCGCCATTATGCGACCCCAGGGATAACAAAGGGAGCATTACAAATAAAATAAAAAAAACAAGTTCCACGGGTCTTTTTTAACGAAAAGATTGGAAAGCAGTGAGTTGCAAGATGAAGCTGGGGCGGAGATTGCGGATATATCTTGGATTCCGTAGTTGGGACCCAAAAGTCCCCGCGGTTCCGTCGCATCTGATTGGTCAGACCAACGGAATTTCGGTCAACCTCTCTTACAACTGGGGTCGGAACCGAGGAGTTCTGGAGTTGAACTCCTTTGGGAAGATGAGGATTGTGAAATTTAGTCGTGTTGGCCAGGAGGATTCTGTAGATAAATACCATTGCTTCGCTGTTACCAAGATGTCTTGTCTTAGCAACAGTTCCAAGCTTCGTTCACTAGAACACCTTTACATCACACACTATGAGTTCTATCATCACTCACAATGCCCCTGGCAAGAACCAAGGAGACATGGAGAAACAGGATAACCCTTCTTCGAGTACTCCAACCCTTCGAAACGAGTCCTCAGACGAAAATAGCCCTACGACCTCGGAGCCCAAGGGTCCTCAGCAGGAGAGAACCATCAGGGGCTTCCGCTGGTTCCTCGTATGCGTCGCCATCTTCTCGGCAAACTTTCTCTACGGGCTCGATACAACCATTGCTGCGGACATCCAAGCTGCCGTGTCCGAGACCTTTGACAATGTCACAAAGCTTGGATGGCTCGGCGTAGGTTTCGGCCTAGGAGCTACAGTTGCTATCCTTCCCCTGGGCAAGGCGTACGGTATCTTTGACACAAAGTATCTTTACATCGCGTCTCTGGTCATGTTCTCAGCAGCTAGTGCCCTTTGCGGTGCTGCTCCTTCTATGGGTGCCATGATCGTCGGACGTGTCTGGGCTGGCGCTGGTGGTGCGGGCATGTATCTTGGGTAAGATTCAAGGGATGTCGGTAAGACGAAATCATTGCTAACTCGTGTAGAACATTGAACTTGGTGTCTTCGACTGCCAGTCCTCGCGAGGCTGCGTTCTATATCGCCTTTGAAGGCTTCGTCTATGGAGGAGGGTGTATCCTTGGACCAGTGGTTGGAGGTCTATTGTCAGACAGCGCTGCAACTTGGAGATGGGTAAGCCTAACTCGAGTTGATAATTCGAACTTGCTTGGAAAACATTGGCTGACCAACTCTAGGCGTTTTATCTCAACCTGGTAATCTTTGCCATCACTTCGCCCATCTACCTCTTCGCTCTGCCATCGCTGCCTCAACAGCCCGACACATCCTTCGTCGAGAAGCTCAAGAAGCTCGACTGGCTGGGAATTACCCTCAACACGGGCATCTATGTCTGCTTCGTCCTCGCCTTCACCTTTGGCGGTCCAGAGTGGGCGTGGGATGATGGTCGGTTCATCACTTGCGTCGTGCTCTTCGTCGTCTTCGTCGCTGCATTCGCCATCACGCAGTACAACACCGTCTTCACCAACAAGATCGATCGGCTCTTCCCTTGCGACTTCCTGGCCAACCCCCAGATGATAATCTTGTACATCGCCATTGCGTGTGGTGGAGCTGGTCTGTTCGTGGCCGTGTACTATATCCCTCTGTACTTTCTCTTTGTCCACGGTGACTCGGGAACTGAGGCGGCGGTCCGACTTCTCCCCTTCATCTTCTTTTACATCACGGCCATCCTCTTCTGCGGATATGCCATGCCTCGTACCGGCTACCATATGGTCTGGTACCTGATCTCTGGCCTTCTGCTCACGGTTGGCGGTGCAGCCATGTACACCATCAAGGCTGACTCTCCCGCGAGCTACACGTACGGCTTCTCAGCGCTCCTGGGCTTCGGCCTGACGACTAGTCAGGCGGGCTACGCGGTAGCAGCCCATATCGTCAAGCCAGACCGACTCGCCGAATCGATCCAGTTCCTCAACATCTCCCAGGGCAAAAGCCAAATGCTAGGCCTAGCGATCGCCAGCTCCATCTTCCAAAGCCGCGCTTTTGACGGCATGAACAAGGTGCTCCAAGGTCAAGGCTTCTCGACAGAAGAGATCCGGGCTGCTATCGCGGGTTCGCAGAGCAAGATTTTGGCGACCATCAGCCCGGAGCTGAGGCGGCGGTGCCTGGACGTGCTGGTCAAGACCATCTCGGAGATCTGGGTCATGGTGATCGCTGCGGGTGCGCTGCTGACTGTTTCATCGCTGTTTCTTACAAAGAAGCGGTTTTGAAGGATCATGGGAGTGGAGGAGCTGACTGAGCAGAAAGTGGAACAAGCGGTGGGTAAACGATGGGGGAGGTGGTTGAAGGAGCGTGGGTTGTGGAGGGGAGGTTTGTGTTGGTGGGGAGATGCTACATCATTCATAAAAAGAGGGAGGAAAATGGTGTTTAAAATATCCATTGTTATTTCATAGAGGACTTATTCGTTACATAGATTTTACATACTATCGCTATCTCCTAGCTTTACCATTCTACTCCAACTACACAACCGAAGGCACATATCAAACCATCATCTTCCAGGTATCCAGTTGCCAGCTGGTTTCCCTCCTTCTTCCTCATGATTTGCGTCTAGTCCCGGGTACCTTGACCATCTTGAATGATCGGCACAAGGACCGTTCTAGACTCGAGGTTTCGTTCTCATCGGCGGGTGGATGACGGAGTAAGAGCTCCTCAGTGAACCTCAAGCCCCAAGCTCTGCCCTAGAGTCCACTGATCTTGTAGCGCGCCCCGCCTGAGAGTCGGGATCCAGGATGGATCAGTAGACGAGGCGCTAATTCTTGCCCGCAGATGGAAATTATTGGGGAACTTGCATTGCGCTTCAATGACGTAATTCCTGACAAAACCAGGTTTGGAGCATGTGAAGGAGGTTGGCAAATTTTCATGACTTGGTAGGAGAGTCGAATCATGAAGGAGGAAAAGACTCTCATGAGCCCATATGCCACCAACAAAATGCTAGAAGCGGTCACCGAGACAAAAGCCAAGACTACCTAGACCAGTCTCCTTACGACAGCCGCACTCGGAAGCTTCCCCTCATCGCATTGTTTGCGAAGCTTCCCCTGGCGACGCTTGGACTTGAGCTCGACTCGTAACCATTCAAGGCTAGTCCGTCTTTTGTCGGCCGCTGTCCCGCTTACTCTGCAGACTGCAGTGCTTGTTTCTTGGTGTTGCTTCGAGCTAAGCCAAGAGCATCAAGCTTCGTGCGTCTCGGCTCATCTCTTGACGACCAAACAAAGAAAAGAAGAAGAGGGTAAAAAAAACTCAATTCCTTCTCGTCCACTGGCCATGCGTGAATTATTTTTGTTGGGCTTGCTTTGCTCCAGCCTCGTCCCGGGAACGAATGCCCCTGCTCCTCGACCGTGTTTGTGATGGGTGATTCGAAAGGCAGGAAACTTGCTTGGTAGACCCTGGCTCCCGTCGTTCGTGTTGACCGCCCAGACTGGACTCACGGATGAGACGGGAGGTAACACAGAGTTGATGCTTACTACTGCTACTACCTGATACTAAGTTGCCCAGATTCGGTTATAGAGAAATGGCTTGATGTTGATGGTCTGATTTTTGGCTTTTTCTTCTCTTCTCTCCTCTTTCTTTCTCTTTTGTAGTAGACTTTTTGGTGTTGTCTCTGTCCTTCACCTCGTCAACCACAGCCATATCCTCCAGCTGTGGCTAGGTCCCGTCCTCTCCTACTCGCTCGGACTATCCTTTCCATCCTCACACCTTCTTTTCCCTCTTCTTTTCCTCATCATCCCTCTTCTGGATCATCCCATCGGAGATCCCAGCCTCTCACCTCCCTCCCTACATTGCCTTATCTCTGGCACATCACATCGTCGTCTCTCAATCTGTCGATCCCGCCCGAGATCCCAGATCCCAGATCCCTGGACCAAGCAGAGGCGAGCCCACTAAAACGACCCAAGCAGCGTGCCTCAAGCTCCCCGCCGACACGAACCGTTAGCCATCATTTGCTCCACTACCTGCGCTACGCGGTTCCTTGGCTGTGGTTGCAGCTGCAGTGGATGAGCTCCATCCCGTCTCCAAGAGGTACTTGTCGTTCCGCGGGGCACGCAGCGCCCGCCCTTCTCTCCTCTCATCATGAGCCCACCGCACACCATGACGTCCAACGAGGTCTATCTGCTGCCGCTCAACGACGATGGCTCGCCTCAGGTGCCGGGCGAGTACATCTATCTGGCTCCCAGGTCCAATGATGCTATCACGATACGCTTTGCTATCGAGGGCACGTCGTCCATTTGTCGTCATGGCAGCCTCTGGGTCAACATCCCCGACGAGGATCAGGAATTTCGTCGCGACAAGTTCCGCGAGTACAAGTGAGTCTATTTCAAACTCATGGAGTCAATTGAGTTATTTGCAGCACTCCGGCACTTCTCTAAGAACCTCACGGATGGTAGTAACACAGTCACTAACTCTTGTCGCAACTCAGGCTCACGCCAGACTTCAATCGCACACTCGAAATCTCCATTCCCATTCACCAGCCTGGAGCCTATGCATTCTACACGACCTACGCCGAGCTCCCCGACCTCAAGAAAGAGCTAGAAGACAGCTCTGACCAGAAGGAGAACCTCAAGAAGACCCCTCTGTACTACATCGATGTTGCGCCCAGACTCCAGCTTGACGGCAGGCCGTTGCCGCTGCCCGCCCTGTCGATCTTCTCGGTTATCAGCAAGTTCATGGGCAAATATCCCAACGACTGGGAGCGTCACCTCGGTGGCATTAGTGATCGCGGCTACAACATGATCCACTTCACTCCTCTACAGGTGCGCGGAGAGTCCAACTCGCCCTACAGCTTGTACGACCAACTTGGCTGGGACCCTTCTTGTTTTCCCAAGGGCGAGGAGGACGTCCAGAAGATGGTAGCCAGTCTCGAACAGAACCACTCCCTGCTCAGCTTGACCGACATTGTGCTTAACCACACGGCAAACAACACCAAGTGGTTAGAAGAGCACCCCGAGGCCGGCTACAACCTCACTACGGCTCCCTGGCTGGAGCCTGCTTACCAGCTTGACACAAAGCTCCTGGAGCTGAGTGAGAACTTGGAGAAGCTTGGGTTGCCAACCGAGCTCAAGTCCAGCGAAGATCTGCTCCTAATCATGAACGCAATCAAGACGGAGGTTGTTGCCAAGATCCGACTGTGGGAATACTACGCCCTCGATGTCGACCGAGACGCCGATGCGACGGTCGAAGCTCTCTCCAAGGGAAGCCTACACACACCCGAAGACTCGGCCGAGTTTGAGAAGCAGCTCCAAAAGGCCAAGGCGGCGCCGGTCAAGGACCAGGTCACCTTTATGAGAGAGTTTGGTTTGGCTGGTACAGATCGCATGGGAGAGCGTTTCCGCAGAAGAGTCAAGCCAGATGTCGCTGCAAGCTTCTTGTCCTCTGTTTTAGAGTCCCCTGATGATGCCACAGCAAGAGCCAAGATTGTCGAGATCCTGGATATTCTCAACGTGGACTTTTACAAGGAGTATGACTCCGAAGTGGACGATATCCTTCAGCAAATCTTTAACAGGATAAAATATGTCCGACTTGACGAGCATGGCCCCAAGCTGGGTCCCATCAACGAGGCCAACCCCCTGATCGAGACATACTTTACTCGACTTCCTGCCAATGCTACAACATCCAAGCACAAGCCCGAAGACCTTGCCTTGGTCAACAATGGATGGGTTTGGGGTGGCAATGCGCTCGTTGATAATGCGGGCCCTGCTTCGCGAGTCTACCTTCGCCGAGAAGTTATTGTCTGGGGTGATTGCGTCAAGCTGCGATATGGCTCGAGCCCTGAAGACAACCCCTGGCTATGGGAGCATATGACCAAGTATGCTCGCATGCTGGCCAAGTACTTTGCTGGTCTTCGCATTGACAACTGCCACTCTACCCCTATCCACGTCGCTGAGCACATCCTGGACGAGGCCCGCCGGGTGCGGCCAGATCTATATGTAGTCGCTGAGCTGTTCACTGGATCTGAGGAGATGGATTATGTCTTTGTGAAGCGTCTCGGCCTCAGCTCTCTTATCCGTGAAGCTATGCAGGCCTGGAGCACGGGTGAACTCAGCCGACTTGTGCACAGGCACGGTGGCCGACCTATTGGTAGCTTTGAGGTTGACGAGGTCTCCAAGTCAGACGTTCGCACGCCTTCGGGAAGTCCTACGAGCCCAAAGGCCAGTGACACCAACGGTTCTGGGCCTTTCTCCAGAGAGATTGTCCGAACAGTCAAGCCGAGCCCAGTACATGCCCTGTTCATGGACTGCACCCACGACAACGAGACACCAGCTCAAAAGCGTGATGCTCGAGATACCCTGCCCAACGCAGCCCTTGTCTGCATGTGCTCAAGTGCCACTGGCAGTGTTATGGGCTATGACGAGATTTACCCGAAGCTCGTGGATCTAGTGAACGAGACTCGCCTCTACACATCAGCATCGTCTGGGCCCAAGCCTATTAAGATCGGAGGCGGCGAGGATGGCATTGGCGGTGTCAAGAAGTTGCTCAACCAGATTCACACTCTGATGGGCAAGGACGGTTATGATGAGACTCACATCCACCATGAGGACCAGTACATCACCGTCCACCGAGTCCACCCCGAGTCCCGAAAAGGTTACTTCCTCATTGCCCATACCGCATTCCCCGGTTACGGCAATGGTAACGGTGCCTTTAGTGCTGTACATCTCAGTGGCACCAAAGCCCGTCATCTGGGCAGCTGGATGCTTGAGGTTGACGCCAGCGAGGAGACGACCAAGCGAATCCTTGAGGACAAGAAGCATCTGCGTGGTCTGCCCAGCCGAGTCAAGGACCTGCCAGGAATTCGGATGGAGATCAAGGGCGACGACACCATCATCACGGTGCGCGACAAGTTCCCTCCGGGAAGTATTGCACTCTTTGAGACATGGATCCCAGCGGCGGAGCACTCCTCGGGTCTGGACAACTACGTCACCTCTGGAGCCAAGGCTGCATGGAATGAGCTCAACCTGTCTGACCTCAACTACCTTCTTTACCGATGTGAGGCTGAAGAGCGAGCCGAGAGCGATGGCCGGGATGGTGTATACGATATCCCCGGACATGGAAAGCTCGTCTACGCTGGTCTTCAGGGATGGTGGAGTCTTCTCAAGGACATTATCCGAGACAATAACCTGGCTCATCCGCTGTGTCAGAACCTTCGTGATGGTCAGTGGGCGTTGGACTACATCTTGGCCCGACTGCAAAGAATCAGTGCCATTCCCGGAAACGAGGCCATGGCGCAGCCTTTAACGTGGCTGAAGGAGCGGTTTGATGCTATCAGGAAGATCCCAAGCTTCCTGCTCCCTCGTTACTTTGGCCTGGTGCTGCGCACTGCCTACATGGCCAGCTGGGAGAGGTCTCTGGAGCTCATGAACGCGAGCGTAAGAGATGGACAATGGTTCTTGCAAAGCCTGGCCATGGTTAGTGTCCAGCAGGTTGGATACGTCAAGTCGGCATCTCTGTGGCCTAACAAGCTGGTACCTTCTCTTGCTGCTGGCCTTCCTCACTTTGCCGTGGAATGGGCGCGATGCTGGGGACGAGATGTCTTCATCTCTCTCCGTGGTCTCCTCATCGGCACCGGGCGTTTCGATGATGCCAAGGAGCACATTCTGGCCTTTGCGAGTGTGTTGAAGCATGGCATGATTCCCAACCTCCTGAGCAGTGGTGATGCGCCTCGGTACAACTCTCGAGATTCGATCTGGTTCTTCCTCCAGTGCATCCAAGATTACACACGATTTGCCCCTGAGGGTGTCGGCATCTTGAAGGCCAAGGTCAAGCGTCGCTTCTTGCCTTACGATGACACTTGGTTCCCCACCGATGATTCGAGGGCGTATTCAAAGGAGAGCACCATCGAAGAGGTCATCCAGGAGGCGCTTCAAAGACACGCTTCGGGTATGAAGTACCGAGAAGCCAACGCTGGTCCTCAAATCGATTCTCAGATGAAGGATGAGGGCTTCAACCAGGACATCAAGGTCGATTGGGAGACTGGTATCATCTTCGGAGGCAACCAGTTCAACTGCGGCACATGGATGGACAAGATGGGTGAAAGCGAGCGTGCTGGTTCCAAGGGTGTTCCTGGAACTCCTCGTGATGGCGCTGCTATTGAAATCACGGGCATGCTCTACAGCACTCTCAACTGGCTAGCCGGACTCAACGAGAAGGGCCAGTACGCATATGCCAGTGTGGACAAGTCTGATGGTGGCTCCATCTCGCTGGCTAACTGGGCAGGATTGGTCAAGGCCAACTTTGAGCGATGCTACTATGTGCCCCTGTCACCTGAAGATGATTCCAAATACGACGTCAACACCCCCATCGTCAACCGCCGCGGAGTCTACAAGGACCTCTACAAGTCGGGCAAGGAGTATGAGGACTACCAGCTGCGCCCCAACTTTGCCATTGCCATGACCACGGCGCCCGACCTGTTTGATCCTGCCCACGCCATGCACGCTCTGTGCCTCGCTGACGAGGTCCTCCGAGGCCCTCAAGGAATGGCCACACTGGATCCCGCAGACCTCAACTACCGGCCTTACTACATCAACAGCGAGGACAGTGATGACTTTGCCACGAGCAAGGGACGAAACTACCATCAGGGACCTGAGTGGATATGGCCCACGGGCTTCTTCCTCCGTGCTCTGCTCAAGTTTGACCTCAAGAGGCGGACGACGCCTGAGGGTCGCACTGAGGCTTTCCAGCAAGTTACTCGACGCCTCAGTGGGTGCAAGAAGATGATCCAGGAGAGTCCCTGGGCCGGTCTTCAGGAGTTGACCCAGAAGAATGGAGAATACTGCCCAGATTCGGTACGTTCAAGTTTATATATACAAGATCAACATGCTGATCTCATGCTAACACACTCGCAGAGCCCCACACAAGCTTGGTCGGCCGGATGTCTCATCGACTTGTACATGGATGCCGTGGAGGAGCAAAAGTAGGGATAGGATAGAAACGAGGATTACAAGAGAAGGATATGACACCTTGGGCATGGGCATGGGCATGGGCATGAGCACACGACGACGGATTCTGCATCTTTGCATTACGAGTATTCTCCTAGATCAGGTTAATGACAAGTATTTTTTAGCCACCACCACTTGGTTACCAGACGTTCGGTTGCTGTTGGTGATTACGTGTTTTCCTTCAAGCCATGATCTCTGAGGCGCTCAAGTCAAGATCCAGATCGATTCCATAACAACGCTAGACCTCTCATTGTTGAGCTTATTCCCGTAATAGCACAGCCAGAGGTCTAGTCCTTCACATGGCCAGAAATAGCACAATTAACGGCTTGAAAATAGTAGGATTGTATGTCAAGGATAGACTCCCATGCCCCTTGCCCTCAAACCTGAGAGGCCATCAATATGTGGCACCAATGTCCACGAGCAACTTCCGTTATGCCGGGTTGAATAAAAACAAGACAAATCATTTTCCCCATGGTGCCAAGCCCTGCATTCCAACCACGCCTTTGAAAGCGTGGAGTAGTTCAATGGTGGCGGCCACCAAAAAAACCAGCGGGCTGCGCCTCTCCCAGCAACGCCGGATATCCAAAAGACACTGAAACGCCACCGAAAACAAACAAAGATAATGTCAAAATAAAGCAAGCGTGGCTCACGTGCCACAAAGGGAAGTAGAGGATGCAACCACAAGTCATGCTCTGGTCCTGTCTCAGGGTTACGCGATTCGAGACAGCTGCTCATGTCTTGTCATGCGTGACTTGTGTTTCCTCCCTTCTGTAAAGTGCTGGGTTTTATCCCCAGCTGGTCAAATCATAGGTAATTGAGGGTGTCGGAAAGTACGGCCGTATAGATAAATGCACGGTTTATATCGTGAGATGCACAGGATGTTGCTGTTTTGAATCGGACGTTGGTAAGGAGAGTCGTGAAAAAAAAGGGAAACAAGACGTGGCGCAAGATCGAGCACTGGACTCATGTTCGGTCACGGACGATCCATCGCTTCTTCTCCTTTTTGGGCTTCTCCTCGACAACGGCGGCAGCCCCAGCGCCGGGGAGCATCATGCCGTTCGAATCTCGGTTCGAGTCGTAGCCCGTGTTGTAGGGCATGCCGCCAGCCTCGGAGGCTTCGATACCGGGACCCCAGGATGGTCGAGATGCTGAGCCAGAGTGCTTCTGGCCGAGGGAGGACTGGCGATCCTTCTTGCGGAGGTAACGGCGGCGCCAGATGCAAGCACCAATCCAAATTCCAGCAATGCCGACAACAAGAATGACGAGCATAATCACCCACTGCCAGTGGTTCGAAATCCTGTAGGGCCTAGTTAGGTATATGCTGATCGTCTCAACAATAAGTAACATACCAATCACCGCCGCCGCTAGAGTTGGCGCCCGCTCTGCTGCCGCCAGTCGAGCTAGAACCATCGGTTGTCGTCGTCTTTGACGAGACCTGACCGTTTCCATTTCCCTTGTTGGCGTTCTCGTCGACTGTGCAAATATCGCGGAACCATGCGGCGATTGAGGAAAGGCCGTTGGGGTCGTTAGTACAGGCGTCGTCGCAGGGACCCTTGGTTGCGGTAGAGAATGCAGCGACTCGGGTATCAAGACAGAAACACTGTGTGTAAGCACTCGGGCCGGCGTCTACGGCGATGATGGGAGGAACACAGGCGCCGTTGGCATCGTAAAGGGCACCACAAGAGACGGCGCAAGCAGGAAGGACCTTTCGGTCGTTGAAAGGAACGATGGTGGTCTCGGGAGCGCTGTTTTCGTTGGCAGCTGTAATTATTTCATGTTAGTATGAGGGGATTGTGATAGGGTGATTCGCTGAGACGTACCCATTTTGACAGTGGTTGGGTTGTGATCCCTGAATTAAACGAGAGAAAGAGTGACGAGGAGAAAGACGATGTCGAGGGCACGGAAAAGCCCAGGAGTTGTCGATCGAAAGTTGGCAGAGGGCGGTGGGAGAGTGGTGGTGTTGTGTGTTGTCAGTCGGAAAAAGCCAAGGCAGTGGAGGCGGCGTGCAAATGCGCTATTGACCAAGTGGTGTCGTCACCCAAGCCACTTGAAAATCGTGATGGTGCTTGGCCTATTCCCAGCCTCTCTCTTCTTTCAGCCTTCCAGAAGATCGACAGGACGGGACGGACGGGACCGGAGGGAGTGAGTGAGAGAAAGAGCGCGTGACTCTCAATTTTCGGTCGGTCCTTTGACAGTCGGTCGGTCGGTCGGTGGTTAAAGGACGATACGGTCGGCGGTTGGTTGGTTGGTCGGAAGAACAAAGGACGAGCGGCAGACGAAACACGGAGGATGCGAATCGATGAATGCAGGTGCAAGTCCAAGACTCAAGGAAGAAAAAGGTACGTAGCGAGCGACTCGGAAGACCGGGGAAAAATTGGGTCAAGGAGACGAGACGAGACGAGGACGAGGCCCAAATATTGGGAAAGAGCTGAGCGAGCGGGAGAGTCGGGTCGGGCGACTTGTGACTGCCGCTTTTGACTTAAGTTACAACAACGGCCAGGGTTGGGGGGGGAAGGCGGGACCAGAGCGGGTTCGTCTTGATCCTCTTTTGCAAGAACACGAGAGGGAGAAGGAACACGGGAACAGGAAGGAGCAGGAGCAGGGCCAGAGGGAGAGGGAGCGAGAGATATGGATTGTCAGTTGATAGCAGAAGCAGAGGGAATGTGCAAGAGATGAGCCCAAGAGAAAGAGAGGGAGGCCAGAGACACGAATGGTGGGGAGAACAAGCCAGGTCAGGAATTTGAGTGGCCAGCAGAAGCTTGGAATTGTCCGTTCTACGGATACCTGGCTTCTCAATCCTTTGCTTCTGTTTTTCCTTGCTGCTTGCTTGCTTGGCCCATCCGAATCTGTCAGCCAACGTGACGATACGACCTGACACCTTCCAAGAATCAACGGATCTACTTTTTGGGGGGGTTACTTTCCCCGTCCAGAGCTCGTCTCTCACTGGACGAGCCTCGCCGGGAAGGACGCGCCCAGGCGGCGGGTACGAGAAGCCAAAAGTGTGTCGAGTGACCAGGGCGCCAAGTATTGGTCGGGTATCCCGGCGCGTCAATGTGAGGGCGCATGGACTTCCGGTACTTCCAGTCTGTGTACTCACAAGAACCCAAGCCACCGGCCTGGACTTGGCAAGCGGGTTCGTGGCGCCGGAGTGCTCTTGGAGCTATCGAGACTTTGGCTGACTGGATGGATATCGTTGGATGGGGACAAGCTGACTGCACACGGCAGAAAAAAAGCTGCGCCGTCTCAATAGCCTATAGGTGCCGGTTTATGCAGAGGAGATCACTCAGCAGCCTCTTTATGCGTGCCCCTTTTTCTTGTTTTGCTTTCTGTTTTGTTTTGTTTACCTCAGTCGTTTCACTGAGGCCCCTTGGCGTCTCGGATTCAGAGCAGCCAGCGCTCAGGCTTCAACTGGCCGCACCCTGCTTTTGCTTTTGAGCAACCTCGTACAAGGACATTAGCCTGGGTCCGGCTGCTGCCAGAAATCCCCCCAACAGCCCGCAATGGAGCACGAATATAGACTCACGATCTAACTGTCTTTGGTCGCTTCCCTGGAGCTGCTGATCGTGGATTCTCCGAGGCCTGCTCAGCGACCTATTTGGGCGCCACAGCGGATGACCCCTTGCTGAGTGCCCTGACTGTCAGCGGGCATTGTCCCGACCACGCCCCCAAAGTGCCTGAAAGTGGTCCACACACGCAAGGAGGAGAGCGGCCGTGATTGGCTGGGTTGAGGGTGCAATTTCCGACAAAGTTGGGATGGCATTGGCACTTTGGAGTCCTCCATGGGAAACACGATATCGCCAGAAGAATCAATTGCACGTCACTCACTCTATGTGAACCCTGATAATCACCATTCAGTACCACTGTCACTACTGCCACCGGAAGCGTGTTATCAGCACATGCCTTGCGACCCTGCCGGTGTCCGTATCTTGCTCACCATCTCTCTCCCTTCACTGTCACGTCACATTGGCATCTCTTGGCCATCTCGGGTCAGCGAGATGCCAACACGAGATGGATGCCAGCTCAATGGCTGGGCTGCCAACGATTAACCTTTAATACGTTCGACCGCCTGCAGCGCGCTGATGCCCTTGGCAGAGTGGGGAGAATGACGACGACTCGACACGGCTCATTCCCACGTCGGAGCATCGGGTGCGTGCCCTTGCTTGCTGCTCACGATCTGCTCCAGCAATTTACCTCCGCCCGCCTGTTCCTCGCTGTGAAAATCGGAGCTCAGCTCTCTTGGGCAGGCTGTTCACAGCCAACAACGCAACCCCCATGCCCAACCGTGGGGGCCATGTCTTGCATGCAGCTGGAAGCGAGAATCGAATAAACCTTCATTGTCGAGGACGGCTCCTGTCACCATCATCACGAGTCCTCATTAACGCCACTTGACCATTCAAGTTCTCAAGTTCACGCAATAGTCGAGATCATTTGCAAGAGCCCGTGCTACTGGAAAGAATGTGAGTTAATTTCAGGGACGCTGAGCATGTTCCAGATCAATTAAAGTGTCAGCTGGGCATTGTGGACTCATCACCCACCTCCGTACTCCAAGGCCAAGGACTCCAAGAATGCTTTGTCGAATATCTTGACCTAACTATCACCCCCTCGCCATAATTACTCGCCAGGCACTATGATGGTATACATGGCAATGTCAGAGAGATTTTAACGAAATAGTTGTGAACCGCCACGACTGGTTTAGGTTGAGGATTGGCAAAGCCAAGTTGCCCGTAGTATTCTATCTTCATGCCTAAAGTTTCTAGAGGTCGCCTCGCACCCATTCATCCCTCTGACTTTCTTGGTCAATTCCGAAAACACCCTCCAAATTACGCCATCTAAGACATGTGGTCTTCAGCAACACGCTAAGTGTCACTTCAAGACTGTCGAACCTTAGCCTTGTCTTTCCCACGTTGAGTTTCATCACAAACTGGCTTGACCTCACTGTCGACTTGCCCATTCCCACCTTCTAGAACTAGATGTCCTCGTGCCCTTGATCGCTTGCCGAACCATTAGTGGCCACTGCCGTCGTGGTTTTGGTGCCAAAATCAGGTGGTGATTCTGCCGTAGGGTAGCCCGTCTGGCCAAAGACAGTCCAGGGGCTATCACGTTCAGCCAAAAATCGAGCCATTGCTGGTGAATTTTGCTTGGACTGATTGTTGTAAACCAATTTACTGCCGGCAATGTCTCTTTCTGGCTCGAGGCACAGTTTGTGGCTGATGGGTTGGGGGCAAGAAGCGTGAGTGTCGTTGTTGGCTTTTGGTGTCGAGGGAGGGAGGCGTGTTGTTTCCCCTTGGTATTCATCCCTAGCCCGTGGGCTGCCCTCTAACTCGTCCTTGGCCATTAGAAACGTTGCAGAGACCTTGAACGAGGTATCTGGGGAACTTTGATGATCTTAGAGCAGCTACAGAGATGATATGCCTCGTTGGGTTGAACTTCAGGGGCATTCTCTTGCGAGGCTCTTCCTGCCTTGGAGGTAAAAACCGAGAAAGCAGAAGATTTCCTCGCTCTATGTATTGCCCTCCTGAAGGATCAGCGGAGAACTCCTGACCGAGACTTGAGACTAGCGGGAAGCAGCATCTTCGTCGCCCGATGCACACGCTACCAACATCGCCAAACGTCGTTCTCTAGCTCCTCGCATACTCTCAACTCAACCTATGGGCATCTCATCCCTCGACTGGGGATCCCAGAGCCAGAGCTAAATCCTGCGGTGAGCTTTTTTCGAGACATCGCCCCGGGTTGGGTCTAGGAGGATGCACCCCCGATTGGATGTGCCAGCCTTGGGAGGAAAGACAATCACTCTCCGCGGTTTCTTAAGAGGCTCTTCAAACAGCATGCTGAACAACAAAAGAAATACATACAAGACCATCTGATACACTGCGACTTTGGACACATGCATAGAAAATGAGGAACTTGCGATGTCTGCCTCTGGTTTGAGTCGAATTACTTGTTGGCGACGGGCAAAAACATGGTCCACCACCCTTGGAACTACTATCATGTACGACCGCTCTCACCGAGCCTGTTTTGCACTTTGCTTAGCCACTCGCTAGTTGTGCAACGAGCCCTTTCCCCTTTCGACGTGGCCGTGGCAGAGAGAGGGGCTTGGGGTCGCACAAAGCAGGGGGGCAATGGATCTTGTGAGCGCGGGTGGTTGCAACTTTGACGAGGCATGGGATGATAATGCGTGCTTTGACCTCGGGCTAATATGTACGAGGCGGAAAATAGAGAGCCAAGGATGATACTCGACTTGCTTTGGCGCTATCGCAATGGTTTCGGTTTCACAGCAGTTGACGAGTATCATATCAGGCGTCGTCTTGCCCAGGCTGCGGTATAAGCGAGCTCACGAGGTCAGAATACGACGCGGGCATCCGTTGATCTATGCGTAATGATGTTACTCAGAGCCTTGTTCTGGGTTGAGCTCACACGGCGAGAGCGGCACAGCCTGATATACTCAGAGAAGTGATAGCTCATGCATTGCATTAGTTTTGTCTCTCTTGAACGCCTTTGAGATGGAACTTTCGATAAGTCTTGAACGCAATTGCGCCGATGAAAGTCAGGTCATATGATGGAAGAGATTCCTTTGGGGTTCTGGTGTTGAAAACTGCCAAGAAATGGTTATGCAAAGAAGTCATTGACTAAGATGATGATTTGATGTTGACAGCCCGGAATTGCCAGTGGCTGCATACAATTAGCAACTTCAATTTGCCCAACAATGTGCCTTGCATAATCACACGCAGGTGAGCGAGCAACCCATATATATGCTATTGACACGTTGGCCATGCCGAGTATCAGCCTTGCAATCCCCTCGGTGTATGCAACAGTGACACACATACATCGCAAAGTCTTGGATTCCCAGTTTTGGTCTTGGTCATATTCCCCCTGAACGGCCTCACTGGCTACTGTGTTGCTCCTAGAGCGTATTGTGAGCACGTAGCTGCGTACTGCTACTAGGTAGCTGAAAAGACTGGACGTAACAGGTATACTGGGGCTCATACTATGTCGCTTTTCTGTCATTATGTCTTCCGGTAGGATGGAGACAGGTGCTAATTACTATAATGCCATCTGGCGGAGACAATAAAGCATAGAGAACGAACTTGCCAGGAGATAATGTGTTGAAGAATCGAATTAAGTTTTAACAACTATGTATGTGATATCTCAAAATGGTACTTTTTAAGTTTTATGGCAACGTGGCCGCGTGACAAAGACCGTCAAGACGTCAACGTCTCTCATCCAGCACAGCTGATACTCATGGGCGCGTTTAGAAAACGTTACCCTTAGTCTGCTTGCGGTCGATGGGCTTGTTGT